GGCGCTTTGCCGGGTCGGCCTCGCTCTTCGTCCCATGGTAGGCAAACTAGGATATTTTTTCCTTTCCAGGGCACTTTCTTCTTGGGTCGCGGTGTGCGCCCTACGACCTGTTTAATCGATTGAATCGGAGTAGTAGGCGCAACTGGGTTTGAATTATTCCAATTCGGCTGGTCGCTTCTAGGAGTCTCTGCTCTTGGTGTCGATTCCGAGATAGAGTCTATGGTGCGGATGCTCGCGGTATCTTGACTACCTCTCTCCACATCAAGCGCGTCCATACTTGCGGTTCCGCTAGTAACGCGCCGGTTCAAAGTAGCTTGCTTTAGAGTTTCGTTGCTAGATCGCTGTCTCGGATGATGCCAAGACGCTTGACTAGAGGCTCGAGACGGATGAAGGGTAGTTCGTCGGTCAGCTCGTGGGGTTCTGGGATCTGCCTCCTCAAACCAACTCGCCTCTTCGCCTAAAATGGAGCTTCTCAATGAAGAGTGCTCACTATCGTCGGTTCCGTCACTAAGCCAATGGCGGTGTTCAGAAGAAAGGTCCTCAGTAGTATGCTGACGGATCCAATCCTCTGTAATGCCGCGCAGGGGGCGCCGAGCACGATTCGCAAGTACAGCAGCGCTTCCGGACAGAGAAGTCGAGGGACGGTCGAGCTCAGTTACTATAGTCAATGGGGCCGGACGCAAAAAGGGTGTATTAATCTCCAGCTGGTGTAGCGGAAATTCTTCCGATGTCTCACTGCTGAAGCTTAGTCGACGTAGGTGGCCACTATCGGCTTGGGGATACGGCGAACCCCAGCTAGCTGTGACAAACTCTCGATCGTCTCCGGAACTACGATTAGAAGGCGGCGTCCGAAGATATTCGGATGCCCGACCCGGCAGTGTCGGTGCTCGAAGTGGCGGGAGCACCGGAGACGATTCACCGTCGTCGTCGATAGTCGACGCACTCGAGACGGGGGATGACGACGTCGCTGAAAGAGTACGAGATGGCGAAGCTCGAATGCCGTCCTGTGCAAAAGCACGAGGAGGGGTTGACGGGTTTGAAGAATACGTCTTTAGGGGGCTGAACCGAGGTATAAGTTAGCCCTTGATTCTGATATCTCAGGAATCAAGAAAAGATACGGGATACGGAACAATAGGCGGAGTCAAGACATACCACGACGAGATCAGCGCAGACAAGGCATGGGTCGCCTGCTGCTAGATCTCCAGACTAACTACTCTCACGTTTATCCGTGCACCTCCTTCGTAGCCCAACGATAACTGGAATCGGGTCGTGGGCCAACTAAGGGGTAATAGTTGCGGTACTAGACAGCGTGGGGATTGTCGCGACGCGTCCCGGTGGGAAAAGGAAAAAAAAGAAAAGAAAAAAAGAGGGCTCACCGAGGCGATCGGGAAAAAGAAAAGAGCGGAAGAGAAAATATATTAAAAGAATGGTAAAAATACGCAACTCTCCATCGGTTTCGCCTTGCCTGTCACTATCCGCCTTGAATCCAAGAAGGAGTGATTTACATAAGATGGACTCGATAATACCTAATGTAAAAGACGCGATGGAGAGCTTCGGACAGAAATGCTACAAGCTGGTGCCCCTTTGGTTGCGAGAAAAACCCAAGTTGTTCAAAAGATTGTCTAGGATTGCCTGTTCATGGAAATTGCTATTTACATCTAGCCTAGTGCTAAATTGGATAACTAAGATGAAAGATACATGTAATCGGCAAGTGCTTCCGCCTACATCTATACTATAAAGGGTCCGTGCATTATGTATTTTTTAACGGTATTTTATCAGCCCAAATTCGCGTTGTGGACTCGCATAGCGCTTTCCCCTCGTCCATAATTTAAATGGGCCTTCCCATCGCGTTGGAATATCCACTCCTGCCACTTTGCTGCCACCTATTAGCTAAGTGTACCTATTCGCTCTACCATTTAAAACACTTACAGGTAAGTAATGCGACAGAGCGATCTCTGATTAGTAGAATTTGTAGCTAAGGCTGGTAAAATATCAACGGCCATTCCGTCCCTTCTTTCTACCTTTATGTATACACTAACTAGTACAAGCAATGTCTAAGAATTATCAGCACAATAAACCTTATCTACCTCTACTTAGTGGCATGAATACATCTAAATTGTCGTACGATGACGCAAGCTTCCTAACCTCCGAATATACTCTCGAGAGTGATGGCTTCTACCACACCTGCTTATACGTAGTGTACCTTAAGTACTTAGGGTAGCATTTACAGCTCGGCCATACTAGTCAGCTTGCAATACATACAAAAAACACGTGTACAATTTCTAAGGTATATCTCTTGCCAGCTCAGTCTTGTAACCGCAAAGAGAACGGAACCGAGACTGACGTTGAGTCCACTTATATGGGCTCACAGCATATGACCATAGAACCGGATGATAAGCTACAGAGCAACTTTAATGCGGTTAGACAACTCTTGAGTTTTTGAGGTATTAGGGCTGGCGCATACCTATTCACGACAGGGGAATCTCAATGCCAATGCCGAGGCATAGACACCAATTCAATTATGGAATAACTAGTTGATATCTTGAACTACTTAGCTAGGTAGGTACCTTATTGACGTAATATGGATTGTCTACAATGCAAGAAGCTATTCAGATGTCTTCATCTTTAAGTGCGTTCCAAGTGACGTAAGACTCCATATCTATAATTAGACAACCACTTGACGAGCCATCGTCATCCACGCATATGTAGCCAAAAGAAAGTCACCATAGGTCATGTATAATGCCCCAAAATTTTGAAGAGATGCGCGAGTCATAGTCTAGTTAGCAGGATGATTATCGATATTGAATGGCAGCGTATATTGTCTCCATTCCGTAATTGACCAGTTGGGTTTTACTCGGAACATCACTCCTGACAGCAATCCAGTTGACAATATGAGAAAGCACTTCAAATATTTAAAGAAGGCTGCCTCCATATTTCTTAACGGCTGGAATAACTGAGATCTTTCGAGGCTTACTTACCTAGGTTAATTATACAGTTAAATCATAGAATAAGATGCTAACACCTCTACTTAAACCTTTTTACTCTAATTTCAAAGACAAGCAACATACTTTACATCTAAGTATGGCCAGTAGTCATATGGGAGCTCCTACTAATTGGTAGGGTTTGGTATAAGCGGTAGAGGTTCAAAGTGTAATTTAGAGAATAGCAAATAGCAAACACGGAACAAAAATAACTACAATACTAATATAGAGAGACGTAGTTATAAGTATTCATTGCACGTGTTCAACACTTAAATAACATGTAGTCTTTTTTCAACAAAATCAACAACGTGGGGTAAATAGAGAACTAAAAGGACCAGTAAGACAAAAAGGTTATCTAAAAATAGAGGGTATCACCAAACCTAAGACAAGACAATTTTAGGGGTCGAAACCCAATCCTTCTCGAGGTTAGAGATGCGCTAAATGTAAAACGGACCCGGATTCCAGACACCGGGCTGGACGGCCGAGGACCTATCGGCTAGACGCCACGGCGTAATATTCTGTCTGGACTGGTCCGATCAAGCCACTTCAATTCAACGTTTTCCACAAAGCGAGGCGCGCGACTCCCCGCATTCTCAATTGTGCAGATCCTAAGGGTCCTATATGTAAAAAAGGGCAGGAGGGTCGTTGGAATCTCAAGGCTCTCTACCTAACTAAGCAGCTAATTCCACAAATAGCGCGGTATAGTAGGATTATCTCAATTGAGAATGTCAGAACAGTCAAAATCGAATCCGTCACACGTAGATTGCGGCGCAATTGGCAATTGGACGTCCGGGGAAGAAACCATTGCGGGACTGTGTTTCGAAACAGCAGCTTGTGTTGCGAATAGAATCCATCGCAAGCGCCCGAGGTTCGTCATCATAGGGGAGATTCAACGGTCGCAAACTGGAGAATATTAAGTCGATCGTTAGGTTAAGCTTGATTGTAAGGCTCTAATAGCCTATGAAAAGCTCTCTGCGTTATTCATTATGGTCTGATGGGTGTTATAGCATGCAACGTTGTCCGATCGACACTCATCGTAACTTGCAGCTTAGGTACATACTGCTTACCTCTTGACTGCTTGAATAAATCAATGTATGTAATTCCGTCTTGGCCAGCGGGACTCCTGCTCTTGCATATGTGGCTGTGTGGCTGCTGATTTCGGATTCGGGGCAAATTCAGGGCAAGTCCGTTAGACCCTGATGATCACCAGTCACTAACAAAATGGCGTTACGAAATGTGCATGTTCATGTGCATCATGTGCATGCCTTAGGTACATATGTACCTGTATGCAAGTATAACAATTAGGTAGGACATCTTCCAAGGACGAGGTAGATTTGGTTAACAAATGATTTTTGTATAGAATTCAGTAACAATTATTTACTATCATTAATATAAGGAAAGTCGAAATAGTAATTATATATCGACATCAGAGAAGTTAAAGGCAGGCCCTATTTTTAGTTGCCTACATGTAAGGTGCCTAACTTCAAAGTTGCAGATATGTAATCCGTAGCCTACATTCAGATCGGAGGTGGCGCGTCAGATACAGTAGGTACACACATCCTCAATTCGGCCGATTCGGTCTCGTAAGGGAGAGAGATCTTAGTAACTCATCCGATAAAAAAAATTATCCAAGAAGAAAAAGGCAATCAACCGGTTCGGATGCAAAGCTTAATGGAAATCAGTAGATGCGCCACAAACATCAAGACTTGAGAGTCAATCGGTCTTATTAGCTTAAGTTTATTAGCGCTATTCAACTGCAAAGTCAATCAACTACCTCACTAATGCATGTACGTCTACATAGTGGATTCTGTCACGATACCCGGTTGTCTAAGAAACTATCAGCTCCACCTTCGGCCCCACCCGCCCCTTTCCTTTGTCGAGCTGTGATTGGGTCTTTGATTAAAAATTATGCGCAAACCCTCACTTTACGCATCTTTGTGCAAATACGAACTAAATGTAACCATACTTCCTCCAGTTACCCACACCTCACTTTCCCTTCCACAGAATCCCAGGCTCTCCGTCTCCGTCAGATTCTTCACATCCTTACTCTGGTCCTTACTTTGGTCATTCGTTTCTCTCCCTCATCACCCTATTATATCCATTCCTAATCCATCATTGCATTTTCCTTAATTTCCCCCCGAGGTGTTCAACTTTGCCTCTGCACCTTACGCTCTTTTACTCGATTCCCTATTATCCGCGCAACGTCCTGATAGCACAGTACAGCATTTCGCGTTGCGTGAATATATAACGACGAAACAACTGGGTCTGACAGGCAAACCGTGCTTCAGATTTAAAATTAATATTCCCATCATCACTCATCCACGTGTCACATAAAACTCCATCTCAATAAAAACCTCAAAAGAAGGGGAGGGACGGATACATCCATTAGTTTCCCACCCTTCTCATTCTCGACCCATTCTAGTATTATTATACTTTACTAGTCGCCATGCATTCAACACGACTTATCCATCTAATGATGGCGGCACTCTCAGTGACCGCTGTCACCGGAGTAGCATGGCTCGATAATCAGCACGCTGGCGCAGGTCAACTCGCGGTCAGGGCGGACGGGGCGGACGATCTCATCTCAATTGGTCCTGATCTCGCCGCCGCCTCTTCCACCGATGCCGCCGATCCAACCACATCCAGTGATGATGCAGCAGATGATTCGACGACATCAGCTCCTCCCGCGGAAACCACGTCTGATACCCCAACCACCTCTAATGATTCCACTCCAACGCCTACAACAAGTGATGAATCTACCCCAACGCCTACAACGTCTAACAACCCAACCCCGACAACTACGGGAGGGACGACGGTGACGACGCCTCCGCCAAATACGACTCGCACAACTCCTTCGTCCTCGGCCACGACCCCGACTCCCTCGGAGACATCCAGCGATAGCGATGGCAATGGCGGCGATGACACAACCGAAGTCCCTCTCACGACGCCGCCACCTACTACGTCTACTTTCATCACCGTAATTACTTCTACTGACGCGGCGGGACAGACCCATATCAGCTCATCATCCAGCATTATCGTGTCGACACCTTCTCCTGTTGCCGATACCAGCGGTGGCAATAAGGAACCCGGAATGAGTGCACAAGTCAGGAATACGATCATTGGTGTTTGTGTCGGTGTTGGTGGCGCGATTGTCCTGGCAGCTGCAGGTGTACTATTCTGGAGGCTTCGCAACAACAGGCGAAGCCAGGAAGAGAACGAGGAGCTGGTCAGCTACGGCGATGGATTTGGAGGTCCCGGAACCGCAGAGAAGTCGGAGCCTAGTGGTAGTACTGCCGGCCGCAGCCCGTTCCAGAGCACCCTCGAGAGCTACCACGCGCCGACGCAAACAAACGCTGCTTCTAACTTCTAAGCGGGGACAATATACATTATCCCAGCATAAATCTCGTCTCCTACTGATTATGCGGCATTGTTTTAGTCCCGCCGGCGTTAGGGTTGAAGGTATTCATTCGCATGGCATCACGTCGTCATTACGTTGCCCGCATTTTCATAAGCCGATATCCACGAGGAATAGAAAAATATCCCCTATATTTTCAAGTTACGACGTGTACTAGAAGAAGGCGAGGAGGACCGCGTAGTCCCACGAGACCACGCGCAAAGTTAGTCGTCTAATTGCAGCAGCTCTGGTTAGAGGCGGCAGATAGACTCGGCCGAGCACTGAAGGAAAGAGGAAGCTCTATGACGTGAGTCTACGTAGCTGAGAGAAATTAAAGGAGAGTGTGAATCTTTGTATACAGCTTCGTAATACCAGCTTCTTCGATTCTGCAAAATTAAAGTATATATGCATTAATGCAAAAGTTGTCCCTATCACTTATAAGTGCTGTTATTGACATGTCGTCACAAACCCGTACAGCGGGAACCGGGTCCAACCTAATTGTTTGATCTAGCGTCCGTCATGTATGTGCGTGCGATTGAGTTCCGCGTGGGTTCCCGAGATGTCGGGACGGGCTTTAACTTTACTTTTATTTCGAACGGCGTCGGTATCCGGTTTTTAGACTTTCACGGGCTGTCTACCGCTAAGGTTCCCGTTGTCTAATAGTGTCTATGAACTTTACGTAGGGCAGTAGCCGTCAGGGCTCTAGGATTATATTATGGCTTTAAAAAATAAAAAATAAAAAGTGTGTTGATGTTGCCTACATTTAAGGCTGGCTTCGTTTCTAGATCGTGCCATCGCGTACTTTACAACATACAACATTCATAGAATAGTAAGCACATACAACACACTATGTACACGCAGACTTCCAGTCGGATCTTGGTAGCATTTATATATACCTACCTTAAGAGGTATGTATAGTAAATAAACCACGAAACCTATGATTCGATTCGATTCGATACATAAATGGTGCTACTCGATACGACTTCTAGTGTCGTCTCAGGATGGTTTCAGCAGCGCCATCTGCGTATCCGTCCACCTCCGACTCGAGCTTTGCGTGTTTCAACTCATCAGCCGTGAGTGTTATATGTTATATAGGTTAGATAGTTACGTGCTTTGCGAAGACGGTTCTTGAGAGGTTGGACTGTTTGATAATACATACCTATATATCTGTGTGGTGAATGGTGTGTACGATAGATGCGAGTAACTAACTAACTACCTAACTAAAAGTAATTTTATCAAAGAGATTTCGGCCTTGTTTCCGTGGTGGTATTATTATTCTATTTTATTTTATTTTATTTTATTTTATTTTATTATCTTCTCCTAGTCGATTATTCCGAACGGCGCAATTTTATTATACGAGATTCGGAAATAAGCGCACCGAGAGACGGCGAAGCCATGAGGTGCCGAGGCGCCGTTACCCTGTCTCTGCTGGCGGGATTCCTCGCCGGAGTGATGGCCGGCGATTTGATCGAGGAGGTGCGACGGGATTTCCAAATAGGTTTATTCGCGCGGCAAGCAATATCTGATATCCAGGTTCGTGGCTACGCGCCGACTCTGTCATTTGGAGCTATTATAATATTCAGTTCAGCTCGTTATGTCTGACTTAATCTATGTAGCAATTTGACCCGAGTAGTCCTCTAGGAGGCAAGACTCCAGCGAAGGTACGTACGTTCCTTTCGTCTCGATATACCTATATAAGAGGAGCAGAGAACATATATATGAATGAATGAATTAGCAGTATACAGTTAATCCATAGCTGACAGTGAATCTATAGATAGAATTCGACCAAAGCAATACGGAGAAGCCTTTCAAAATCACCAACAGCAGCATATCAGAAGGCGAGACGTTTGTATGTCACTACCCTTGCTCTCCTCCTCCTCCTCCTCCTCTTCCTCGTCGCAAGACATAGCCGTAAAATAAAAGTCTTGTTATTCTCCCTCTCTATCCCTTAGCCTATTAGTAACAAGCCAACACCCCCCAACCAAGATAACTGCCTAACAGCTACTAATCATCTAACAGAACGACTTCAGCACCGCATCAAACCGCGTCTGCGACGACCTGAAGAACGACTGCGCCGACACTGCCAATCAGAACGACAACAAGGCCTTCAGCGTGCAAGACTGCGACAAACAACGTGGTGAGTTTGCTTTCAGCCCCTGATCTCCTGCTGGCGAGGTGATGGGGGGACCCTCATAACTTATTGATAGTTGGGTATTACTAGAAGCTAACGTAAACTAGATGATTGCATCACAGCAAATATACCTACTGAAGAGGACGACGCGTTTCTTTACTTCTGCGACTGAATGGAGCGCTGCACTAGTTTGCTGTAGAATAGTTTGCGGGTTTAGCCGTATAGGGGCTCAAGTCCATATCAGCTTGATATCCATCCATAGGCTTCTCGGTACGCAAGGGGCAAGTCTCCAAGCTAGGATTGGAGACAAAACATACACTACCTACCAGCGTGTTCTGATAGTCCGGTTAACTGCTACTTCGTATATCACGAGCAACCAAAGGGTTGGAGACTAGTTGAAGAAAGTATATTCGACAAGTCCCTAGCAAGGGCCAGCGCAAACAAAATCAAAACCAAAAGGCACTCTTTAGTGGTAACACGTAATAAATATTTACTAGGTAGACAACGAACACAATAAAATACAATTGAATAAATAATCATAAATCATAACTAGTCCGCCTAATCCCGGGTACACACCTCCCCTTACTCTAAACTTGTATCCGAGCAAGGGACGGCATCATCCGGTATTGAAGCAGACAATATTGAATAATAGCGACGAGCAATAGCATCGCGCACCTCTGTCTTTAGTTTTGTAGCATTAGTGAGAATTCATAAAAGCATAAAATGACATTTCGCAAACGAGTTATACACAGGTATGCCTGAGGGATCTGCCGGTCCTCAATTCAGCCAAATACGCCGAAGAAAAAAGATAAAAACTCAAAAACAAAGCTTTCTCCTCTGTATCGAAACGCCTGTTCTGTAACCAGCCATGCCATGCCAATTCTCAACGACGCGATTATGCTGTGACACCGAAACGTCATCATTACCTCCGGACACCTTTCCGAATTAGCCACCCTCTGGATATGAACAAAGGAAAAAAAGTAAGGGGTTTGACAAAACGACGCTATGTCAAGCCAGGTGGTGGTATATCATCATGGGACTCGTTTACGTTGGTACATTAACCCGGAGGAAAGGGATGATGAGGAGAGTGAGGTTTCTTCTTTCGTTACCAGGTAGACTATACCCTGGCTGGCTGCTTCTTTCGAACTAGGAACGGGCTCGGCATCTCGTCCCTCTCTGGATCCCAAACGGCGGGCTCAGCGAATCGGTCTTTGGAACTGCGCTTGGGGCTAACATTCACAGACTCGACTGGTCGACCGCCGGCTCTAGCCTGCTGGAGCTCGACAAGGGTGCGGCCTTTGATGTTGTTCTTTGTTGCTACCTTGGTGAGTGCTGGTTCTGGTTCCTTCTTTAACGAGGATTTGCGCTGTCCACCGTTCTCCGCATTTTGCATGCTAAGATTGGCAACCGAGGGGATCTTGCTAAGCCGTCGGTTAGGAGAATCGCCCTTCTCTCTCAAAGCACCATTACTAGGTTTAGCCCGGATTCGGAACTCGGGAGCAGAGGTGGGCAGGGGCGGATTTGGCTTGTTAAGGGCCATGCTGGTTTGGTTTCTTAGACGGTTGATGGGAGCCGTCTTCGTTGAGGGAAGAATCGGGCGTTGGGGCCCGAAGGGATTCTTGTTCGACCGCGGTGGGCGAGTCGGGGATGGGATTATATGCTCGTCGTCGTCATCCGAATCAGATGAGAACGGATCTCTCCTGCCTGATCGGATCTCTTCATCATCCTCAAAATCAAATATGGGCGGCTTGTTTGCGGTTGGGGCCTTAGTAGCGATGTTTCGTCGTGGGGATAGGGACAGGGATGCAATAGCAACCATTGGGGATGGGGATGCCATGTCGACATCCATCGACATTGGCGTTCCGGGATTGCGCTCGAACATGGTTTGAGCGCGGGCAAATGGCGCACGTGAGCTGCGCTTAAGGGGATGTTCTTCGGGAGAGTTAACAGAAAATTCGGTAATATCTGTAGTGGAGGGAAACTCGCTGTCCGTACTACCAGCCATGGACAGGAAGAAATTCGTCCTGGATACTTGAGATGATGTGAATTCGTGAGTCTCGACAGGCCCAAATGAGACTCTCTTCTTCTGTAGTTCTTCTTGTACCCGCGCTTCCACCTCGGCTTCGAAACGTCGTTGGAGTTGTTCAATCTCTTCATTGACAAGACGGTCGATTTCTAATCGAGCCTTGACCTCCCACTCTCGTCGTAACTGGGAGTCGATCTCTTGTCGGAAGTTCAACTTATCGGCCTCGATGTTAGCTAACTTCTCTTCGACTTGCTTTAGCTTATTGCTGAGCACATTATTGCGCGATTCTAACTCCATCTTGAATTCTACGGCCTCTCGCTCTTTACGCATCAAACGTACGACCGGAAGGTTGAGCAAGGTTGCCGTGTCAGGGCGTAGATCTGGATTGACCCTGAGACAGTCTTTGATAACGGCCATAAGCTCCCCCGAGTAAACTCTTGGAAGCGGTGGGACCTTTCCCTCCTTGATCTTTTGAACGAGCTGAAAGTGATTCTTGGCATTAAATGGAGGCTCACGTGCGCAGAGCTCGTATATTATACACCCTAGTGACCAGATGTCTGACTTAAGAGTATACCTCTCGGCAGCGCATATCTCGGGAGACATGTAGAATGGCGTTCCAACATATGTGGACGCAAAATCGTGCGATTGTATCATCTTGGATAGACCAAAATCACCAAGCTTGACAGAATTATTCTCTCCGAGGAAGACTGCCGCAAGTTAGCATATACCTCCTATAATGTTCTATACATCTCTAGCTCACGCACCGTTCTCAGGCTTCAAATCTCGGTGGAGAATCGTGACAGCTCCCTGCGGCGCCTTCGTTTTCCCCATCGTCACTATTTCAAGGACATTCTTGCCCACTGACGGAGGATTTACGCCATAGTGACACCGGTACAAGGCGGTGACCAGCTGTGAGAATATCTCCCATACGAATTGCTCCTCGGCGTACTCCTTGCGATTGGCGAGACCCTTAATCACCCGACCGAGATCGCCATTACCACAATACTCCATGTAAAGATACAGATCTTGAGTCTCTTTGAGATGTTCGCGATGGTAGTAACCAACAATGTTGGGGTGTCGGAGAGTAGAGAGGATCTGGAACTCAGCATGTAGCTGTTCACGTTCCTTTTGCGACATTTTCAAGTAGCTGATCTCCTTCCGGCAGAGGATCTTGCCATCTGCCTTCCGTCGGATCTTTCGAATGACGCCGAAGGAGCCATGTCCTACATTCGGAACGTTAGGGCGCGGCCATAGAAATTAGAATGAAGGGGGATGACAGCTTCGTCAAGGGTAATAGAAACCTACCTATTTTCTCCAAGGTTTCATACTGCGAACTGATAGATTCTGCCATAGTGAACTGAATTGCGAGTCGCTTTTCGAATTCAATGATTTATGACTATGCCATAGACAACACGAGCAAGGAAGAAGCTAAAGAAGTTGAAGGCAACGCTATTGGAGGAATTGAAGGGGGTAAGCCAGAGCTATTCGATGCTGCTCCAGCTCAGGACTTGGGGGGGGGATTATCTTGGAGTATTACCTTGCTACTTGTTGTTGAATAAAGAATTTGGTTCTGGGAATGGTTCTGGAAACTGCAAAGGCAAGGGCAGAAAATCAGAAAATAGCTGTCCCATGCGATGGATCCGGTCAATTGCACAGGACACCCCAGTAGATACTTGAGCCCTGTGCTAATTTCTATGCCAGATTTTGTATCTTATGTAACATTGCGTGTATTGCAGTCAACAAATCCACCCGTGGCCACGGCAACTGCTTAGCTCAGGGTGGGGCGACAGGGTATAATGGTCGAACTCTATTGAATTGCTAGTTAGAATTAGTCTTAGCATCGCTTCAGACCTTTATCGATAAGCACAGCTGCATCTATGTACGGATCCGTACGGATTACTTTTAACGGTTAACCCATCTTCCACGTGATATTCCCGATTCCCGATTCCCGTTTCCATATCGCCGATGATGACATACATCTGACTTATCTAACTTATCTGGCTTATCCAATTGAATCGATGGCATTTTGTACTTGGTCCAATTGCTACCAGCTACCAATTCAATTCAATTAGCCATGCATCACCAGTCATTAGTTGTATGGTCGGAGTTATCGGACTTGACGATTCTATGAAAATTCACTCGATATTGTCGTTGTGTTTTGGTCAACCATGGTTCTTCGAAAGCACGAGCTAGAAGCAAAGCTGAAAGATGATATCGAATTAGTTCGTAGTGGCGTACTGCGAGATGAGAATCCTCTGGACCTTAGCCAGGAGTTTGGCGAGCTCTTAGAAGCATGTCGAAGAGGTGATCTGAGGCGAACTCAAGAACTGATTTCTGCCGGCGTCAATATAAACGGTAAAGATAAGTTCGACTATACTCCTCTCATCGTGGTGAGTATAGCTTGTCTTCCTGTTTATTGCGTTTGAACATCCTAGGTAGCTGACTGATGTCTAGGCAAGTCTCTGCGGGCATTATGAGTTGGTTGAGCTGCTTAGTATGTATCCGATTTAAGACTTCTCTTTTCAAGTCAGCCTGAGATCAAATGAATCCTCATAATATTATACTATGCCGAAATATTAAGAGTTGAAATATTCTTAAAACTTATACTGACTCTAAATATTGTAGTCGAGTCTGGCGCCCTAGCAGAGCGAGACACGTTCCAAGGAGAACGATGCATCTATAATGCTCTAAATGACAAGATCCGGAATCTGCTGCTGAAATACGACTACTCGAAGTCTACTGACCCCTTACAGCCATGGGCCGCCCATATCAGCGCACTGCTGACTAGGGATACGCCGAAGACTTCCGATATAACGTTGATAGCAGCATCAGAATCGTTCGAGCTTCATAAGTTCCTTCTTTCTGCCAGGTCACCATACTTCCAAAGGAAACTTACGGAGGCGCCCGAGATAGAGACGTGGAAGCTGCCTCAGTCAATACCAATTGAGTCTTTTCAGGTCGTCTTGCGCTATATATACCTCGGTGACATTCCAAGGGAATTGGTTGGCACCCGAAGTGGCAGCACTGATGAGGAGGTCCTAACTGGTATTGATAAGATCAGTAAACAGTTAGAGATTGATAAACTTTGGGAAGCTATCCTCTCGGGCAGTGATCGGCGATTAGCGCGACAGAGGCATCAGGATGAAGTTAATCGAGCTCAAGAACAAATCCAAGGCTTCTTTCAGGAGAAGGTCCTCGGACACAAAATGGTTGTTGACACCCGGAAGGCTCACGAAGTCAAATGGCCACACGATAATTCTATATTTGCGGATTGTCTCCTGCGAGCTGACGAGGGAGGCGAAGAAGACGAGAATATTGATAAACAAGAAGAATCGAACGGCATTCCCATTGGTCCGGGCGCTGAATCACGAAAGCAGAATGGCACTAAGAAAGTTAGGAAATCCGTTTTATATCCTGCGCATAAGGCCATGCTCATTCGTTCGCCATATTTCGAGACCATGTTTTCCAGTCAGTTTCGCGAGGCCCAAGCATCAGAACACCTACATATCATCAAGATAGACTGTCAACCCGAGATCCTCGAACTCATCCTGACATTCCTCTATACCGAGAAATCTGAATGTCCTCTTGAGCTCGGCCTCGATTTACTTTATGCATCCGATATGTTGTTCCTGGACAAGTTGAAAAACAAGGCTGCGGTCGCCATTAGCACATTAGGGAGCGGCAATAATAACGTCCTAGTCGATCGGACGCATACTCACGAAGGCGACGAAATTGGCGAAATAGAGGTCGAGCCTATTAACGTATACGATGTTATACATGCCGCCTGGGATTTGAGGGTTCAGCGATTAGAAGAGTTCGCTGCTCGGTATCTCGCGTATCGGCTAGAAGACTACATCGACGAGGAAGAGTTTACCGAGCTGATTCAGGAAAGCGCTTCGAGGCTCAAGACCCGAGAAGAGACGGATACGATCGAGTTGCTGGATGATATTCGGTATTACTTATCTGAGCGTTTTAGGTTGCGGTTTGAGGACGCCGGGCTAGACGAGATGATGGATGAGAACGGTGAGATCAGCACAGAGGCGGCGGAAGTGCTAGCCGCGCAAGCAAACGACGTTGCTGCGGAAGACAAGGACGCGAAAGGCATCGTTGAAGTAGAAAATCCCGATTCCATTTCCGCAAAGGCTGTTATAGCAGAGGCCTTGACAAGCCCAGATGGTGTGTTTAGAACCCTTGATGGAGAGCTCGTCGAAGATGAGTTTGCGTCCGATGCTGTCAACTACCAGCTTCTACTACAGAAGATCGATAGAATGCTAGAGAAACTAAAGCTAGACGCGTAGAAACGGGGTTGTATTAGATGAATAGGTAGAGTTTGGACACATAATAATCGAATCCTGTTGTTTTAGAAAACCTTCTACAAGCTATTTCGGCGACGGCTCGTTGTTTGCGGATAGGTCTCTATGTTCGGATGTACTATTTACGCCTTGTGTCAGTCGCATGCCTCGCGACAACCGTAAGGACCCGCGATGTGCGCACGTATCTCTACAGCGAGACGATCTTCCAGCCAGCTACCTAGGCATTCTTCTATGCTATTCATGTCAAGGTGAGGTGGTGTACATCCCCCTCCCCCCTTTCCCTCGGCTATCGCGTTTGCTAATGTAGCGTTTGCTAAACCCTTAATAGTATAAAGCCCCGGCGGGAAGTTCAGCACAGGGAGCGGCCCGTGAGCTGACGGGGACTTAGCAATACCCGAAGTCTACTGCTGACGCATCTGCAGTCTACGTGTAAATACGTGGTGCATCCCCATCGCCTTCAGTCTAGGTATAGTGGTGATACAGACAATAGGGGTTGGATGAGGTTCAAGAATAGGATGGGTCAGTTGACTAATCTAAGCTGGGGAGTCCCTGTAAGTGAGTATAGAGGTGTCTATGTAGGTGTCCCGCCTTGTAGTTTAAATGGTTGTCGCCAATACACTATGCTGGTTGCGGTATCAAGACTAGAATGTCTACCTTATATCATGATGATTATATCAACTAAAGCTGCCATGTATTCACAATGACAACCCTTACGACTATGAGCATTCATTATCTTTCCGTCATGAAATAGTCTAGGTGATCTAAGCTCCATTGTAATCCAGCTTCACCCATCAGCTCTCGTCTAGAAAGGTCCGTAGGCAAGCGTAACGTACGCGGCCCCCGCAGTCACGAGATATGTTAGGACCAGTAATGCTGGTATTCGCTCGAAAGGAGCTGGCCGTTTCGAAGCTGAGTCGAATCATCACGTAGTAACATATCGTCGGTGGCTCTCTACTCTTGCATAGGTCACTCAAAGTATATGCTGCGTGAACCACTGGATGTAGCCGTCGAATAGGCTCACTATTTCAGCCAACTTTTAGAGTATGACAACGCCTGAAGCCCAGGATACGGCTGGATCCTGCCAGGTTTTAGGGTTACAAACAGAGCCATGTCCGCCAAGCTCTGCTCTCGTCGCCGGTTGTTTATTATCTGCTTGAAGTCATTTATAATAATTGGCTGCGAGGAGTAGCTCTCGAAGGATACGGCATATCTATATCAGGAAATAGAATCGTCTTCGACAGCTCTACGTGCCAAACCCGGCTTATTTGCCAAGTAGCCGCCAGATTGGCTCGTGAAAGACTTTATACCCGCTCAAATTAGAGACACATACGTGATGTGATTCGGTGGCATGTTGTTCTCATTTTTAGGCCTGGGCACATTTATCGAGTGCAGCTCGCTTGTGTACGTGCTTCGTCCACCTAGGTACCTATGCCCAGTTGCTGGCTGGTTTGTTAGGCTTCTAACTGACCGGTGGCAGCAATTCCTCTCACGCCGGTTTCCACGATCGCGATAAGGAAAACGTACACGGCAGTCGTTTCAGCGTGGCTGAATGCAAATCCCGGCATAATGCTACGTGATAATCAGCGCTGGCTTGGAGACCCTCTACCAGTTGGCGGTAAGGGGGGGCTATAGAATCTACCTCTATCCCCCCTCAAAAATAGAATAATAACGTTCGGACAGATGGCGTAGGATATGAGGGAGGCTAAAGACCTCGGAGTTAACTTGTCACAGATTAAGCAAACAAACAGAGCTTCTGACGTTGCACATTTACTACGCCCGTTTGTGGAGATAGGGCTACCGGCATTAGAGACAAGACCTGCTGACGACAGGTATAATTCACGGCATATCAGTAGAATCCCGCTAGTAATATACGAGGAATTGCGCCTATGAGACAAGATCGGCGTCATCTATACGCAAGTAAAGCTACGTGAGCCCATGCTAGGTAACGCAACGAAACTATTTGCCGTGATACGAACTCAGGCTTCCTGAGCTACGGAACTCCCCCACTGGCTAGACCACGCCAGATGATCGACACGTGGAATAGGTCCCGTACGCACGCCGAGGACTGGTGCGTACAGCGAGCGACCGCCTACTGATCGTCGTTGAGATCCCAGCCAACAGCGCGGGATGGGGGATCGGCGTCCCGGGTGTAGGGGACGACGCATAGGAAGGCTGCATCCGGTGAGTAGTTTTTTTTTTGGCTTACACGCTAGGAGGCGTCCAGGAAGAGCTTTCCGAACCGCCTCGCCTCGCCACTATCTTAAAGTGCTGAAGTTATCCCGCGCCGTGCCGTGTCTTGTCCCTTTCTTGGTCGGTCGATCTAGATGTGATTGCTTGCAGAAAGTGGCGGAATATAGGTAGTCTACCTACCCGCTTCATTTACCAAGCTAGTCTAGTGATATTGCGAAAAGCTAAACATTAATATAACGGTGGCGACGAGCGTAGAGTAGGCTATCTATCTGTGGATTTCCTAGACGTCCCGAAAAGCTGGAAAGTCGACGATGTTGTGATGACGCGCGACTGAGGTTTGACATACCTAGGTGTGAGAATGGTTAAGCTAGGTAAGTCTAGACGTAGTCGACGTCGAGGCACGCAAATCTATGCACAAATGGGAAAGGCTAATAGGAGTGAAATTAAGACCACGCCGCAAGGATACGCCTAGCGATCTGTCATAAATACTACTGTCGTTTACGTTTCGTTTTGTCTCGTTGTCCTTGTGTGTATCGCTTATTAGACGAAGACACAAGAAGCAAGAATATCGAAGCTATTTGCGCTTCACGAGTTGGACACGCGTATATGAAACATCGTGAAAGACATCTAGATCCGATAGCAAGGGTTCGAGAAGTGATCCCGTCAGCCACGTGAGTAACATTAGACGTTGGGTTTCCCTTAGTGCTGAGAGGCGCTCAGGTATGTTCCGGTGAGAGCTAAGGGTAGGTACATGCGTGTCTGGATACTGTAGGCGGATACTGATCAAGATTCATATCAGCTTATACCTATTTAGGAGATGAGGCGTAGCTTTTCCCCGGTCGCACGCAGAAGAGCTTTTTGCTTATTCCTCTAACGCTTCCCAGCCACCGGCCACACTACCTAGGTAGGTACCGCGCGACGAGTCCGGGGAACAGGCTGAGTCATATAATAAAATCATGCCATGGCCCATGGTCAAGACTCGCGGCTCCCAGCAGCGGGGGCCATGGGATGATGCTCAGCTTGCCCTTACGGGAGGCTGCAGCTGCGCCAACGAAATATCCTAATCTCGGGAGCTTAGGAAGCCTAGGGAGCCTAGGGAGCCTAGCGATCTTACGGATTATGTGTCGCTTTTTAGAATAGTGACTGTTACTTCGGGTCATCTAGCCTATGAGTCCAACCAATACCGAGCTTGCCGCAATATAAATCAGGGCTGTCAGTGTCATTATACAAAAGCTGACAGCTCCTACCGGATGGAGCCGAAGTAGAAGGGGTAATCCATGATCGACATTAACACCCAGCTATTGCGTATGTGTAGTATAGGTAGTATGTATATAAGTATGTCCATATAGAATCTAGAGTGTCACTAGTCATTTAATGCTGGTAAAGGGGGGTATATTCGGAAACAAACGAGATACTGCTTGAGTCGTATTGAACTTTACGTGCATCTAGTACAAACCTGTATTATGAAAGATTCAAAAGTAGGGCTTCTCCAAGTATCCCTAGGGATCTACTCGGGTGATCTACAGCATCTTAGACGTACGATGAGCGCCATTAGATCGATACCCCGCTAACCTAGAATATAGGTTGCTGAGTCGAGGCTTATTACTCCAAAAAAGACTGGTAAATGATAGCCCCCTACGTATGCGCCGAGGTGGTTGTTGTATGTACATGACTGCAAAATGCATCAGGCCGGCGCAAGTACTTAGAAGTTAGATTTGCAGCAACTTCCATTCATCCTAGACCCCTGCTTGCAGTCCCAGCCCAACGGCGTGGGTAGAATGGAGGATCATGGGTGTAACCATGCTGCCATGTCGCTCGACTAAATAAATAAGGCTGCCTACATAGTACAAGTAGAAAGAAAGAAAAAAGAGAGAAAGCTTTGCTTATTTACTACGTAGACCTGCTGTGATATGTGACCTGTAACTTTAACACTCGGATCTACGTGTGGTCCCTACTCGGTATTTCCAGAAGCGCAATTTATCTATGTAAGATCGCGACATGTATTCCCTATCAGATTTCCGGTATACGGCCGACTCCGGAGCATCATCCTCGGTGCATGTGAATTCATGTGACTACCTACCTTGTAAGCCACTACCGCGTTGCAGCAATTCGTATAAATTACGTATATATGCAGTGTATAAGGTCGTCCAGCTGCTCTTGATTAAGGGGAAGTCGAAATATTGACGCCCAGGTTGCATGCAGCGATCCACGGCGGTTGTAAGCGGAAGCAGATTATCGTCATTCACATTGCATACATATAGGTATCACAGATGCACTATAGCATAGGCTACTCCGCATTATAATCAGTATTGTGGAAGTCCCGTCAGCTTGGGGAAGCAGTCTGGCTTTGGGTAGGATATTGTTGGGGAAAGGATATTAGGCAGTCAGCTCACATCAATACTATAACTTGCAGTACTATTTCGTAATGCTAGATGTCGGGCATACCACGGAGATCTATGAGGACGATATTTTCGCGGAGTGCATAGATACCTGTCTCGGTTGGATTTGCCCTTCGACCGCAGCTGAATAACCCGGCTTGGCTGATAGCTGAATGCCCGTGGAAATTGGTAGATTGAAGTATACTGTGGCTGTTATAGGTTACAATATGGCTTGGTTCGCTTGAAGAACATTATATCGTAAAGATTGTTTTTGCAATGCTGGTTTAGCCCCCTTTATATTACTAATGTCGTATTCTAGGTAGAGAGCAATACTGAGTTGTTCAAACTATAACCCCTTAATAGTTCAGTAACTGTGATGTCCTAGTCAGTTCAATGGTTTTAAATATAACTATAATATAAAATATGTAAAATGGTCAGCTGTTTTGTAAGGTTGAGCCGATCGTTAGATGAATTTTTCAGACTATAACCTCGAGTAGCTTCATAGTATTGGTGATTAGACGGCATTATCGTAGCATTCTCGTAGAGGATGTGATCTCACCGGTGAACACAATCGATGTTAATTCGTATAGAATAGTTCTATCCATGCCACGAGGACGACGCTGGATGCGGCTCACTGCCCGAGGTTTTTACTGACTTGGTCATATAATACGAACCCTTGCTTGCATCTAATATCCCATGCATAGCATATCAATACATCATTAAGGTCGATCTAGGCCGTTACATGTGTCGTAGAAACAGCCACATCAGCCCATTACAGATGATTTAACTGGTAGTCGATGCGGAGATGCACTCTTCGTTGCCTAGAGAATTCGTGTGAGCCCTCGTTTCCCGCTCGACGGGCCAGTTCCATTATAACCCGAGAAGAAGAAAAAGCAAATGTAATATGCAATGACATAGCCCGTCTGTCATAGTTACCGAAGCTCACGCATGTAACGATGGTAAGTTGAGCCTGAGCCTGCATATATGTACAGAAAGATGACTGCCTTACTGCCGCTGCAAAGCATCCTAACTGGCCGCGGCATTCGGAGATCTTAGGAAGCGGAGGAGACTTGGGTTGAATCCTTCTAGCCAATACTAAAGCACACGGGTAGTCACTGAAGAGTTTTAGTCTATTATGAGTCCTCTTTGATTCCTATATGGTCCGATGCCGTGCTGCACGTACAATGCAAACGTAATACTAAGTAGGCAGATATGAGTGTATTTTGTACTGGTGTCTCTTGCATTGTAGTGATTGGAGGAGCACGATTTGGTTAGCATTTCTTTTACCCGGCTTAATGGTTGAAGCTGACCATCGAGTACGTGGTAATAGGGGTCTTAGTCGTCCCTTGTCGTATCCAATACCACAGAGACCCTTCAAATACTTGACAGGTTAGTCCTCGTTGGGCATCAGTTCATGGCTATTCTGGTGATTCGTCGTTGGGCGTCATTGGGGCGGGGGAAGTCATGGTACCGTCTGAACGGAAAGTATACGATATACTTGCGCCTCAGAACAGTCACTACGCCTTGAGAAACAAGTAAAGTAATTACCACGCATTAGAAGCTAAACTGTTTACAGTTTGTAGCTCATTCCCGTCATTACTAAGGGGTTGGTTTTTGCTAAAGACTACTATTAGATAGCTTTGATAATACTATTAATACGTGCTTGAAAATATTTGCCTCTAAGGCTGGAACATTTATTACATTATCACACGGAACTAGCTTCAAGGTCTACGTATGATTCAAGAAAAAATAGCTAAATGAAAGTCTTACTGAGATAACGATCTTAGATTAACATTCGTTCATCTGTCTCAATCTTGTGAGTGCATATCCTGATTGGGAAAACCGCTGGTCCCTGTAAAGTTGTAAGGACAAAAATGGATGATTAATGGGAAAGACTTCCATGGCTCGGGACCAATGGCCCTTGCCCAGATCGTCGATCTCACTACCCCGTCTTGAACGAATCCGGTTATAAACCCCGATAGACTTAACTGTAGGTACTAGATTCTGGAAGAATTATCATAGCTGCAAGTAGCTTCAATCTCAGTGCAACGTGATGACATAGAGAATATTGGAATGTTTACGATGTGGTGTAGAGCTTCTTACATTCTGAAGAACGTCGGTGTCACAAAACGGCAATGTGCCGGCAGGACTACGTCTTTTTTAATAAACGAACACGGTAGGGCTGACTGGAAAATCTGTCGATCAGAGCCATCTCCAACCCCGGCATCCTCATCGTTAACGTCGTATCTTTTTACAAAAGGATCGCGAATGCGCGACGCGTCTATGCACCGAAGGCTCGATTTCCTAGTTAAGTCGCTCATCTACTAAATCTCAAAAATGCTACTACATGAAACAAAAAAGAATGCCTAATACGGTCGAGAATATGAACGATAAAGCCATAATATTGTTGCTATGGGAAGTGATGACATCGATTCCAGGAAAGTGATCCGAAAGAAACGTGACTGCTCATCAAAAAGCCTGGATTTAGGGGTCGAGATCGACATAGGCAAGCATGGGTCTAAGGACGCCGTCGGGGGAGTAGCTTGCGGGAGCCGGGTGACATGAGATCAGCATAGTGCCTTAGCGTCCATCGCTTAGAGAACATCCCCAGGTATTCCATGTCAGATGGGGTGGGGTGAGCTATAATAACTCTGAGAAAACCAACAGAGTGGATAAAGCAATTTACATGCTGTTTGGTAGGATGTTCGCGGGGGAGAGCGTGTAGATTGTTCTGCTACCCACCTAGAACACCAACATATTATCATTATAGACAGGGATTAAGCTAGAGCCTCCGAGGTAGTTCCGTTTTTAAATAACTATTTCGAGTTAGTTGAGCATGTTTAATCTATTGCTTCGAGATCTATGTAGTTTAACCTGTACTACACCCACTAAGCCTCACGATACCTTCTTAGATCGAGACCAGCGTAATTCGTATAATTAAGTTGAGCACAATACTGAAACGAAGCCATATGCTTAGGAGGGGAAGCTTTTGATATAGTATACTAGCTATTATAACAAAACACGAGCAATGACCCGGCTACGGCATAGAAAAAGACTAGCTACCTGGTAAGTGTGAAGCTTAAACGTATAATGTCCGTGCTATATATACCCCCTTTTCGTACATGAAGTACTTCCACGTGTACGGAATACAGTAGTGTGAGATTAATATTATTATTACTCGCAAGCGCTAAGAAATAATTACCGCGTGGTAAAAACCCGACTCGATAGCAGTTCCTTTTAAGTTCCAATAAGCATCCAATTCAATTCATCTGACCAACTTCTCATGCTGGGCATAAGTACACAATAGCGTTAGGCCTTGACATATCATAGGATAGGTTAACTAGGTAAACATAGAGGGTACCTATATAACAAATAAGGAGAGGGGAAGTCTAGTTAGGCCTACGTAAGTACTATGATAGCGGTTGGGTGCTATCATAGTAGTTACTGATATACTAACATGTTCTGGCGTTATTCTGGCGTTCATCTAGCGCGCCGTTATGCAAGCCTCAACTCAGTTTCCATGCTTTGAAGCGATCCGTACACGAAGCTAGTAGAAAAAGCAAGCCATCTTAAGACCTCACGTGGTTTCTAGCTTCTCCCGCCGCTTGGACTTGTCGATTCCACTCGTAGCTTATTCGTTAACAATTCCAAGTGCAAAATCTAGAAGCCGCCTTCGGACCTTGGTGTAGTGCATGACGCGGCGCGATCGCAAGGGCAGATAATTTTACTGTTGGCTAACTTGGCGGCCGTTATTCTTTACGAACGTATTCATGCACCGGCTTAAGCTATGGAATATCACAATACATACTAGATGGAGTTTGCATATGTCTCAATTCAATCTATCAAATATCACAAATATTAGTTAATTAGTTAGTTAGTTAGAATTCAAGACAGTTTAAGTTCTGTAGTAACTTGGCTCGTGCCAGATAACTCGGAACTGGCTTATTCCTTTATGCCATCTCTTTACGGGGTGTCTCGCCTTGGGAGTTAGAGTGTCAGGGGGACAGGGGTTCGTAGGTCCAAGTAAAAGAGGTGTCGTCCCGAAGGGGAGTAGGCTGTCGATCATAGACCACGTTAAAAGTCAAAGGCATGACCGAAGAAAAAATAAAATGGTAGTCCCAGGGCAAAATAAACCCTTGCTAGTCACAGACCACCGTGCCTAAGCGAAGCAGATTCCTGGAGCCAAGTTGCCGATCATTTGAGATTGGCATTCGTTTCTGAAAAAGCCTCCGAATGTTTTTTGGAAAAAAATAAAATATATTATTGGCGATGTCATATCGTCATAATCCTTCAATTATGCCTAGAAACTATGCTTAGATCTTACTAGCAGATCGGTAACGGTAACGCTAACGTCGATAATATATGCATACTCATTAACTACCGTGCCATCTATTAAAATCTTACGTCCTAGAGAGCTAGGCGGTGTCTATGCCATATGGATCTAAGGGTATTACGTATGAAAGCATAATGGTTTGTTTAATGAGGCTATCTCCTATCGCCAAGGATTAAGTGGTTCCTTATGGAGCTGGTCATGGACCTGTCGTAGTGTAGGCCTACCGTCTACATACGGAGCTTGACATGCGAAGACCCTCTTCTCGGATACCTATTCCCATCCCACAGGTAAGGCTCATCTCAGCATCCTACTTTTAGTATCCTATGACGACCTAGCAGATACGGGCGGTTGTGGTCTGATTTGCAACCAATAGATCCTATTACTATTGATATCGATCAAGCTAGATAGAATCCATGACCGCTTTAAACCCCGTAGACCGCCTACGGAACCCCATGAACGAACACGTGAGAACTCTTTTAGGACATCATTTACATAGTCTTGACCGGCTGGCTCTACTACCCATACACTAGGATCATCCGTATAAGCAAAGATGAATATACAAAATAAACACATAAACATCAAGACGCTACTGCGGGTGCACGGGATTGTTCGTCTGTCGAGCACGGCAACTTGTCTACCGAAGACCTCCTTGTTGCAGGTCTTGATCAATGCTCTATTGCCCGCTGTTCCCGAATAGGTCAGCCCAAACATTACCCTCGCGGATAGATAGATCTGACAATCTGCAGCATGGTCTAGATAGATCAAAACATTTTGGGGCAAGAGAGAGGCTGTCATCCGAAAAGAATGACAGACGCACGGAGAAGCGTTGCAGCGTGTGCGTTGTCAGGGCTCGTGGGGAGGAACGGCATAAGATCAGCTTGACAATCCGGTCACAGCACGGGCTCGGCAGGGCTTAAAAGATAGTATCAACGAAGCTTGCGGCACTAACCTCAAGCCTACTGTCGTCTCTAGTCGTCTCAAGTCCCCTACCTCCACATGAACTAAACCAGGCCCCTTGTCCGAAGTGTACCAAGACAGGGGTCACAGACCAACTATCCGGCCGGCAATATGCCCCTAAGGGGAAATGGTGACCCGGATGCGCCCATGCACCCAGCAGTGCCAGTACCATAACCATAACCACATAGGTATCTCAACGACCGTGCTAGCCTTGACTAGCCAAGACCTTAGAGCGAGGAGGCAGAAGGAGAAGAGAAAGAGAAGGGATGAGCTTAAACGGTCCACCGGGGATGTCCAGAGTGCAGAAGACCACGCACACGGACGTCTTATTAGACCCTTGCCGGTGCATAGGCGTAGCCAGTAGCCGTTTGACCTTCAGCGATCCCACGAGAATCCCAGCGGAGCCGTTCTCCTACGTCCATCCTTCGATCTCACCCACATGTAGGTATGTACATACCTACACTTACACTACCTGACTACAACTGGACTACCTACACTACACACCATAGCTTCTCCCATCAATATAATACATATACACTATAATACATACTGTACGTACTACTACTACTACTACTACCCTTGCATCAGCCCATACTTGGGGAATTGGGACCACTAAAAAGAGGCGGGCAAGCATAAGCAGTTCCAGAGTCCCATCGCCGCACATGGAACTCCAATACATCAGGGCTCGTCCATTAATAGGGGGCGCTATAAGTACTTGCCGATGATGCAGGAGTACCTTCGATACCGGCGATCTACTGTTGATTTCGACCCAGGTCTGCCGTGACCCACACCCAATTTGTGACAGTTGTTCTCCAGGGATTATTGTATGGATTGACGCTTGATCGTCGTTTATATTATACCTCCCGGGAAGATCTGATAGATACATCGTCAACCCTCGTAACTCGTCCACCACCTACTGTCTATACTTAAGTATCCACACTCCCCGTACATAATCTCAAGCTTCGTCGTACTACGAATCGTTAATCGCCTTTTACATACCGAGGATTCCAGGAGCTAAATATATCTTTGTCGAATAAACACAGCAGCTAATATATACGACTATCGTCGACCAAAATCTCTAGTTCCTAATATCAACAACAGCTCAAGAGTCTTGAGTTATACAATAGTTCGCCAACATACATACATACATACATAATATTATATATATACACGATGGCTACAGCCATATACACGAACCAGCCTGGTGCTCAGTACGGATATCCACAACCGCCCCCTTCGCCTCCAATGGACGAAACCTCGAAATGCTCTCTTCCCTCGATCTCCAACTTATTAGTAATGGCAGACGGTGGATCGCCAACGACTGAGCAGTCGCCTCAGTCTCAGCAAGGTATGAACGGGTTAAGCAACTTTGTTATGAAAGGCACCGTACTAAACTCCGGGGTAGCACCATCGGTGAAGGTAGAGACTCGACCGAATTCGGCTCACTGTGCGAGCAGCGCTCCTCGAGCCGCTTTACCTCCTACCCCCCCTATGAGTTCAGATGCGTCCTTTGATGGCTACAACTCACCGTCGACGAGATCAGTTTCTGTTGTATCGGGACCAAACTACTATTACGAGACGACCCCACCGCTAGAGGATGTTCACCGCCATCAGATGGCGGCCGCGGTGGCACCTCGTATGTCCATGCAAGCTCCGGCATATTCGCAACCCGCTTTTACTGCGCCATACTTGGGTCAGACGCCAGTACCAGCCTACTATCCCGCCACTCTCCCAGGAGTTCACGCAGCTCAACCGCAGATCTCGGGGCTCTACTACCAGAGGCCATTGCCACAGGTTTGTCTAATTCATGGTTCGGTGGGTATAAAGGACATAAGCTTATCAGGCAACAGGCGTTTCCTCCCCTACCAGTAACGGTGTCTCTAGCGCCAACTCAGGGGGCCAACCCGTGGCAACACCATCACTACATTTCGCCATCCTCGGCGGCGTCTTTCCCGCAGTCACAGGACCGTTACATCTGCCAGACCTGCAACAAGGCGTTTTCGAGACCAAGCTCGCTACGAATTCATAGCCACTCGCACACCGGCGAGAAGCCCTTCAAGTGCCCTCACGCGGGCTGCGGGAAGGCGTTTAGCGTACGAAGCAATATGAAAAGGCACGAGCGCGGATGTCACGACAACGGCAACTCTCACCACTAAAGCACCAACCCAGTCTCGACATAAACGTTCGACGTTGTTATTATTTATTGTTTTATTCCTAATGTGGACTTAAGTCTTGTGCGGCTATCCGAAGAGGAGGTTGGAAGGACCAGAAAGTCAGGGATATGAAGGATGCATTTGATACCCAACCAGGGGGCTACGTTACGAACTTGAACGGCCGCCTTCGTTTCTCAAAAGCACTCGCTGTTTTATTTTTCGCTTTCCGACATTGTTTCGCCTACCCGAAATACCTGTCTGAAATTAGGACCGTATATTTTCGATTGTTGTTGGGATGAGTTGGCGGAAGAGGCGGTCTGCCTTTTGCTTACTGGGATTGGGAATTGCGGGATAGGGTACGGGTTGCATTTTATCTGCGCAGGATGTGACTTGACTGTTCATTGACGAGGCGCATCGGACTACCAACTCGGGGCATTTACACCGGCGTTTACGAATCATACTGAGAGAGGGATATGTGCTGGAACATCCAAAAACAAGAGCAATCTTACCCTCGTTCACGGTTTTCTACGGATGATTATTATTACTACTATTTTTTCTTGGATATTTTTTATCTAGTCCTAATGTATAGAATAAGGACTGCAAAGAAAGGGGGGGAATGAGAAACTGTACCAACAGAGCAATGGGTCGAACCCAACGCAGATCTCGGTGGAGAGACGGGCGAAATAGCTTCTGTATGATGGAAGATGAATCTAGATGACTAAAACCGGCTTAGCTTCAGGCAAGCCGTGAGAACCAGAATTAAGAGAAATATCAAAAGGGTGTTCTTGGCAATCTTGTTCCTGTGCTTGTGGCTCCAAATCTCGATCTCTATTCGTGAAAACACTAGCAAGGCAAGGATCATTACTCGATAAAGCATACACTACATACATTGGGTTTCTTCCCTCATCGCTGTGGCTGGGAGAGGGAACATTAGCATGCAGGTAACCTTGTTTCGATGTCGAAGAGAAGCAGCCCCTGCGTGGGGAAGTTTGCTCTAAGCTCTAAAGCTCTTGTTTTGAGATTTACGCAGGGGTGAAACCCCAAAGACCGGAGTCAAACAAGCTTATTACTACGTAACCAGTAACACGTAGGGAATATCCCATCGTCTAAGAGAACATAGCGCTGGCCTAGGAGGGATGTTTGCCAACTAAGCATACATAGGAAGAGATTGGCGGCTCGGATCAAATGACCCTAGTCTATAAGGGTCTATTACATATAGAACGGAGGTTTCAACGCTCAGACAATTTGGTCTGCGCATTACCATTGTAGGAAAAGGACGACAGACGTAGTAAGTTCTACGTGTAGGCATTGCGGCGCTCATCACTTGCGTATTATAGGGCCGAAGTCAACTTAAAAGAGATATTATATGATGGAGATATATTAGTCCTAGTTAGTACATATATTAAGTCTTTATTCTCTTGCGGGGCCGTGATGTTTTAGAGTGTAGCATTAACATCACTCCATCTAGCATCTTGCTGATCTCGGTATCACCCCCAAGTATGTACTATCCGTACCTACATACAATAAACCCGGCAAGGTATATGTATAGCGGGCGAGGAAAGTGTATGTTTTTTCTTTCTTTTCTAGATCACCAGCCCTCTCGTCCCCCTTGGCGCTACGACACCATCACGTTCCGTTAGTTACCTGCGAAGCACGCATGTTGTGACCGCGTTGTGACCCAACCCACACAATTCCAAGGAAAATGTAACATGCCAGCCCGCAGCGTGTAACTATAACGATTACCGCAAGCGGACGTCCCCAATCGCCTCGTAGCCGTAATCAGAAGTCCCATTACGTTTTTGGAGGGGGGAAGTGAAAAAGAAAAAGGAAGAAGAAAAAAAAAAGAGGGCAAAATACCACCCAACAGTCGTCACCGTTTTTTTTTCTTCTAGCTTACCAGCTTGGAGCAACTCCCATTGCATAGTAATGCGGCGCTACGGGGTTAGGCGAGCTGGAAATACGTAGGTGAGTGCCTATTTCATAATAGCGTTTCGTAGATCACGGGCCTAGCCCTGGTCAGTCGCGTGGTAGATGGAGTCGGGATGTGTCTTGGCAATGCCAGGCATATGAGGCTTTTCTTGTGGGGGCCGTTGTAGTGTACATACCTACTGCCTACCTACATACATAGTATGTAACTACCTAGGTAATAAGGAAGATGAGAATTCCATTTCCGTCGGGGACTTTCGAGGACTGGCCCGAATGGGCGGGGGGGCAGGGGTAAGTTAGTTAGTTAGTTAGTTAGTTAGTTGATGATGATTTTCATCAGCAATGTTGATCATGCTGAGATGAGAGGGTACCCAGCATGTCCATGCTTTCTCTTTACCGTATGTACTCGCCCTCGTAATATCGTACCTTTAATTACATGAGTTACTCCCTACCTATCGCTCACCTCCTTATTATATGTAATAATGTACTATAGATGACTGTGTTACCGCGTCTGCAAGTGAGATGGCAGACGCCTCAATCTATAGATTTTCTTGTAGGTATCTTATGTTTCTACACTTCGCATTGTCATTCATTGAAAGTGCTGAATATCTTAGGAGGTACCTAGGTAATTAAACCCCTTTTTCCATCGTGATATTTCACATAGTCCTACACATAATTTCCTTGACCGCATGATCTATCATAATACTATCTGTCCATCTATGCGTATAGACCAAAATCGCGAATAAAGCATCTTCTTGAATCAAACCTCTTCATGTCTCGATCCCAGAAAACCGTTACGCGCTTCCCAAAGCGTCGGGCTTCCGGGTAACGCAACGAGAACAGTAAGCTCTGTTGATCAGATCCAACAGATGACACCCTCTCCTCGGTGCCGCAGCCTCGGCCCTCGAATCCTATTCGATCTTAACCGTATATTCCATTAACCCGTCGCCAATAAAGCAGCTCCGGTTCCCCCTCCTAGCCAACAAGATTGCCGATTGCCTGTCCTAGGCGTCGGACGTCTGCCCTTTCGGCTGTCCGCATCACCTGCCCATTGGGAGCCCAGCTCATTGGGTCTCGCGCCCATGGCCGATAGACCAATGACGTTGCCGTCGAGCCCCGTCTGGATTTCCAAAGAGGCAAATCTGCCCGGCGGGACGCAGCAGGCGGCGAACACATCAAGTTGCATTATCGACTTACACGACATATCACCTGATGTGAACAATTCGCATCTTCCTGCATACCGTAGTTTTTTTCTGCCAACCCAGGGATCTGACCTCCTAGTCGGCTCGTAGGCTGCAACCGGATTGCAGGGTGGTAGCAGACGTACATCCGCGGTATTACATGCTTCTTCTTCTGTTTTTCGATTAATTAACCACGACGCCGACTGATCTTCCATGGCATGCATTTGAATTATCCGCAGTTCCCGTCCTTCTGGGACGAGCCATGTCGTAATCCCAATAGGACCTCATTTGCTGCATCACCCCTGACCAGGTTTCCATTGGGTCGGCTACCAATTCCGCTGACACCGCCTCCTATTATATAGTAGCATACATTATGTCGGTGTTCTCGTCATTCTACGTAAGTCTTCCTTCTACGTGCAATTACTACTACATACAGTCTGCGTATGACCGTTAAAAACAGCTAAGGGAGGTTGACACTACACAAGCATCTACATACCTAACACCTAACATAGATGCGATGTCGTACTACGTTTAATTACTATGTAAATGGCCCTTGCCTTTTTTTCATATAAATATAGTATCTTGCCAAGCGAAGCTCTCCTTTCTCGGTAGATTTAATGATACATTAATTGCCTTTCCATCAATGATGACATAGCAGATGTCATTAATATCGTCGAGTCAACCAAACCTTCAAGCTCCGATATTATTCGACAGTAGACGCATCATATGACCGGGCAGCAGTGACTTCAGAGCCGCAGTTAATATTCGGCATTCATGATCCACCGCCTCTTCTGCAAGGGGCTGTCTGTGGTTGGCACCCTGATGTGTCCTGCATCGGGAATCACTCTCGGTTGAGATGATCGTCAAGATCCTCCACCCCATCCAGGCCGTTTGGGTGTCGCTTAGCTCACATAAAGATCCGAAGTCCCAGTTCCAGACTACAGCCACCGCCTCATCGCAGTCTCAATATAAACCCTCCTCACAACGAGGTTTGCTCATGCGTTACTGCTCAGGGGCTCGAAGCTTAGAGCTTTCTTAGCTATATCTATTGCGGGGGTTTTAATGTAACTAGTATTGAATTGTGTTCTGAAACCTCTATAGCTTGGCCGTGGCCTACGTCACTCGAAGATTGGGCGAAACAAGGAGTCGTCTTGTTTGCGCTAATGTGATCTAGACCTTGATTGATGAGGTTGGTGAGATTGCTAAAGAAACAGCGGTAGTGCGCATGATGTAAGAGGTACAAGTGTATTCCGTCGGCGTTTAGATTATAAGCGATTATTAGCAGTGGTCATCCACCCTCTAGGTACTATATACATAGGTACCTTAGGTAAGGTAACCTCGTCCCTAAATAAGGGCATTCCAATGAGTTACTATATAACAGTCTGACTAGATAATCACGAATATTGAACACGATCGACCGATCTAGCACTTTAATACTTATTATAATATCTCTTATATTCCAAGTTTCAGATATCGTATTAATATATTCAACTCACGAATGATAAATCTCTTAATAATAATATGTACCTAGGTACCTACCTAATATCTGTATAATCAAGTACTTCGTACTATACATGTGTACATGCATATGCAGATTCAAAGTTCCAATCAGATCCCTGCAACACATCCCCCAAACGCAGCAGCGCGGATCGCATGGATTAAAATGCCCCACATTCCCGATACAGGCGCTTGGGACTTACAGCGGTCTTAGCGGTTTTTTCATAGTCTTTAGCTTCTTTCTTTCTATTGATTCGCTCTTCGTTCTACGAGATCATGCACCTTTCCATCTTTCGCGTCACACGTCACTACATATGTAACAAGGAAGACACGCTGGCGTTTCTCGGCGCGAAAGACGCTATCCTCGGCCGACTCTTTCGCAGTCGCTTATTATTATTATCCAAGACCCGGTCAGCGCAGGATGGGCTTGTCAATAAAGTGAGACAGACAGACTAGACTGACTCAAGACGCCGGCGAACATGGCGAACATGGCGAACACCTGTCACCAAGCAAGCCTTCCAAGCCTTATTCCAAATTTAGGAGTAATGTCCGTACTAATGCATAGATCGGTTGGTTTACCGCAGCTTCGGCACAGCACCTAATCTAATAGCAGCAGCGCCGTTGCGTCGGCTAGAGCTCCACCGCTAGACGCGGCCGCACCCTGCGGATATCCGGGACAGCCGTCGATTACATTAGCGCGAGCTGTGACATTACATAGTACACATCATATCGGTCGGTAAACCCTTATTTGGGTAGCCTCGATCTAATCTGTGCAAATCGTACGTTTTCTGCAGGGCTAGCCTCGAGCCGTTGACACCGCCGTCAGCCAAAAAGGCGGCATGAACGCTGACGATGGCGAAGATACGAATCTCAATCTCACCGAGTCTACATACTTAGTCTACACATACATACCTAGGTGGTACCTACGTATTAACTACCCAGGGTAAAGAATAAATGAATAAAAAAAAGCGGTCACTTAATCCTCGAGATCTGCAACTATCTTGGTTTCAAAGTCTTGGTATCTCACAGGGGCAAGGGGGCATTTCCCGTTCCCCCACGGTTCGGTTGGCCAGGTTCCGACGACGCATCCAGTCAGCGTTGTAGCTGATGGAACTGAGTGTTTTGTGTTTCGTCCGCAACTCTGCCAACGTGGTCCGCGGGAACAGCGAGCAATAACCCGTGATCTTTTAGGTCACAAGACTTGCGCGTGCTGCTCCGTTCTGCAATCGTCCCAGCTTCTAGAAGGACCGACTCGACTATTTCCGTCCGAAGACTTACACTAGGAGCCTAAGAGAGTAATGAGTCTCTGTGCGCGGAAAATTCCGAATCGTTGGAGTATGCAAACAGGACCTTTTCTCCGTGCTAGGCCGTCTCTTCTCGGAGCTAACACTCCATCGCCCAAACTCTTTTATTTGATAGCCCGTATGTATTAGTGAGTCGGCGATGATGACTATGACGATGTCAGAACCGTCTCTTTCTCACTGCGCAGGAAAGGCAGGACAAGGGGGTATCGTGGCCGAGCGTTTCGTCATCCACGGCTCGAGATCTACCCGTACCAGGGTTATCTGGATCCCGGTCATTTTACGTAGAGAGCGGTCTGGCATCGAATTAAGTTACTACTCGGAAACTCCCACCGCTTTAGTAATACCTGCTGACGGTGAGAGTTTTCTCAATAGCTATTCTAAGAAAAGATAGCCATCTTCAAAGGGTTGCCTGTTTAGGAATGCAATAGGCGATAAGTTCAATAGTCGCCTAGCGGTATGCGTTGGCAAACCTCAAGTCGTAAACTGGGAGGCTGGTGTGCGCCTGGCACCTGGGAGCCTTTCCGAACCGGAATCCTAGGCTTCTATCATCTCTGTACATACAGTAGTAGTCAAGCAAGCGCCTGGCGGTGAGTTTCTTATGTCCGCTCACTAAACCCGCATGAGCGTAGCAAGACTCTGTTTTTGCTCCTCAGATTCCGCCTCCAATTCATGCAATTCACGCATCTCAGTCGTCACTCGTCGGACAACTTTGATGCTCGAATAATGTAGACGATAATGATCAACTCCCAGAAAAGCGTGCAGACCCTTGTTCTCGACGGCGGTTTCAGCCCTGCTAACTCTCTTTCCCTGCCTCAGATCAATGCAGTCTTCCTCCCGTGTTAAGCTTCGCTTAGCTCGGATGGCCGGTTCCAGCCAGACCCTTTTCCTTCGCGACGCATGAATAGCTCCAGCTAGTTCAGCTTCGATCTTCGACGCGTGCTAGAGGGGAAAGGGATGGGAAAGGAACTTACCGCTTCGTCAATGCGCGCGGGGGGCCGTCGACCACAAATTCGGGCTGTGAAAGATCCCCCGGCTGATCTCCCCCAGGGGTAGCTCACACGATAGCTGTCACAGACGTCGCGGATCGGATATTTTCCGGAGTCTTATAGGGCCGGGTTCAGAGTCAGTTCGCACTGGGTTGCGCACGAAGAGCCGCGCGGGACTCCGCCTTTGTGTAGAGAAGGCTGGCGAACGGCGTTGGCTTGATCCGCGAGGTTGTCATATGCGTATCGCGAAGCATCCTAGGCTTTTGGAGTAACTGATGATCGAAATGTAGAAGCAGGACATCTTCGTGATGGCTTAATGCTGGGTAGCTTTGTTTCGGCATGGTAAAGACCGTTGGAGTACTTCGTTCCCGCATGAATTCTTCAGCGGCAGTCTACGGATACGGATGCGCATGCGTACCGGTCAGCGATACGACCTACGCAAGGAACTTGACGTCTCTCGTGTCGCCTATCTGTACGATGTGGGTTGCCGGATTATACATAAGTATAGTTGGGGTAATTGACCGAGACTTTTACGCTAGGTAAGTAAGTATAGTTGTAATATATCGTCCACATATCACTTTTCAACGTCTTCCGGGCGAGAAATGGCAGATTTATATTGTATAATTCCATATATTTTCCTAGGTTAGTCGCTTTCATCTCGGGCAAATAAACCTATAGTCAATATAGAAGTAAAAGAGTACAGGAAGTACACATCAATGCTAAGCTCAATGTTTTCCAAAGCTCTATTCTGTTGATACCAGTCTGATCTGTTTTATATGTACAATCAAGTTAGATAAAACCAAATATCATCAATGTCTCCCCAATATCTATCTCGAGGTCCCTTCTGAATCACCACCGATGCGTGTTCTAGTAAGCAAATACCAGTCTAATAGTTCTGCTGGTCGTTCCAGTACAGCGTTTCGTGGAATATCCTACGCGCAACATAGAGTTAGCTAATACCTAACACAAAAGCACACTACTATGTTAAACAGTTACGTTTAGGACAAGGCCAGGTAAAAAACCCGTAGTTTAGCAAGGGAGAGCACACGAAAGCCCAGAACATCGGAGGACAAATAAAGTACAAGGAATGAAAATGAGTACATACTCGGGACCAGTAGCAACTAAATCCCAACCAAAGGTCAACTTGATAAACTGTGTCAAGTGACTAGCTACCTTTATAGCACCGACGTCTGTCGGATGCCATTGCGGTCCGATATCATTGTGCTGCACTGGAGAAGGCGAGGTGCGTTAGCACATACCTAGGTAGGTACCTACCACTTATACAGAGAGAAAATATAGATAGATTAGGTACTTAAGGCAGATAAGTAAAAGAAAACTTACTGATGCCCTTGGTACTAAAGTAATGCACGAAAGACTCGCTCGGCGCGTCCAGGACGGTCGTCGTGTTCGTCGTACCGTCCCAGATCGTCGGCGCGGAGAGGTATTCGTCCGAGTTGAAGTAGGACACGATATCCTTGAGTTCCTGCTCGTAGCCTAGGTTTTGCTGGTAGCTGTTGCCGTAGGAGTAGAAGCCCATCCACAGTTGCTGATGAGACGGCAAGCTTTAGTATCTCGGTGTGGCGAGGAAAGGGGGTTGGGGGTTGGGGGTAAGGATAAGGGGGGAAGGGAGAGGAAAAGGGGTCGGTACCATCACGATGACTTGCGCTTTAGGGTACTTCCCGTGAACGCCCTGTATCAGCTTCTTGTAAGCGTCGACGTACGTCTCCGTGCTGACGTTATTCGCGGCGTTGTTGTCGTTGGTGCCGAGGTTGATAATCACGATGTCCGGCGTCGTCTCCTGTTTCTCAAAGGCCCACGGCTCCGGCTCATCTGCCGCAGGGGTCCTCTATTAGCATACAAGATATTCCACCGAATAGTCAAGCCATATCTCTGCTAGTTATATATAGGTAGCTACTATAAAGAATATCTGGCTGGCTACCTAGGTAGCTATATGTATAAGAGCAGCCAAAAAAGGAGAAGAGGAGGAAAACGCACCGCCCCATATCTGCGCCGCCCGCCAGCTCGTATCCGACGCGTAAAACCACTGGTGGACCTGCCCGCGCGGATTCCCCCAGCAGTCCTGGTCCGAGACGCAGATGCCCGGGTACGCGGTAACATAGTACTCTGCGTCGCCGAGGCCGGCGCCGACGCCGTACGCGAAGCTAGACAGGCCCTCGTAGCTCGTGTACATGCCGGCCGAGAGGCTGTCGCCGATGAACTCGACGGTGCGCTGGTGCGGCGGGATCTTGACCAGCGATTCGCCGGCTGCTACGTGCACTTTGTCGATTTGGACGCCGTAGGCCCAGTTTGTTACGCGAAGCTCAAAGGTCATGGGGGTGATGGGGAAGGTTTCGTTGATGCCGGGGGTTGAGGGAGAGGCTAGGAGGTGTGTGGTGCTTGCTGTTACGTTGGTCTGGGGGTTGGGGGGTGTTGTCTTAGCTTCTAATTCATCGTCTATGATAGTCGAACGTGCTTAGGGTGAGGGGTGGACAATAGCACGGGAAGAAATAATGGGTTATATTGAGTATTATGCTACTTACTACTACGTGTTAGCTACTATAGGCGGACGGGTTTCGAAATCATAGGAATAGGGGTACAGGGTATTAGAGTGATGTGCTCTTATACTTACCAAAAGTCCAATCCATCCCACCTATTCGATATCCGATGAGTGTCGTATCTGTAGTTAGCTCTCCAAATGTGATGGCAACAGTATCTCCTGTAAAGCCAAAGACAAGCCCGGGAGCTCTAGTTCAACCGTCACTCTGTCAGGTTCCTCATATACATATACGTGTCGTGTCGTTTCAGCTATGAATTTCAACAACTTACGACCACCAGGAAACCTTCTTAGAGTCCCATCTCCCCTTGTAAGACAGCTCGGTAGCATTTGCATCGTAGGTCCGGAAGTCGTACGAAGAGATCTCTATTTTAGTATCAGGATAATCCGTGATTCTCACTTGGCCATTCTGGAGAATTGTCCCTGCAGTTAAGGAGCAGAGGCCTAAGAGGCATGAAAGCTTCCCAAGTAACATCTCGCTGACGGGACAACGTCACTATTGAGAAGAAATGTTCGAGTCTTACGTCTGGCGTATTTCCAGCATCTCTACGACTAGAACGTGTGGACATGATGGGATATGACAGTTATATAAATACGACCTATCTACGATATCGCGATGAGAACTTACGAGCTACGGGGTCTTTTATTTCTCCAAATCTCTTCAGGTCCGTGATTCCGGGCGATGTCTTCATTGCAACTGCGCAATGCGATCTAGATCTGGATCCGGGTAGGTTTGTAGACATCTAGCCTGCTGTTGCTATGAATATAGCGGAGGTTATAGCGGAGGTTTGACGTCCGCTTCTCGATCGAGACATGCCGGGGGGGAACTTCTGCAATGCATTGTAGATCACGGCCTAATATATGCGAAGCGAACTGCAGACGCGATGCAGACCCTAACTAGACAGAGAAGCCGAGTCAGCCTAAGCCCTATGTGCTATAGCAAGGGGAAGACCGAGGGGATGATAGCCGTATTATATATTTTATGTATTATGTCGATATGTTGATGAGGCTCAAGTTGGACCTTGTTATGTAGTACGTTGGTACTTTGACGTAGTTAGGCACTTTAATGTTCAATGGTACATGTTAGAAAGATTAGAAAGATAGCACAGGTTATGACGTCGGTAATTCCACTGATAGGTAAGAGGTACACACTGCGACTACCTTGTACATTTAGGTATGTACCAACTGTATTTATACACTCACTACCGTTACTTCAGCCGGAGTTTTAGCCCTACAAGAATTAATATTACACTTTACATTTCGCTTACAACTTTTCCACCTTCTACCCATCACTCTTATTAATGAGGCGATGCGTTAAAAAATAAAGAAAATAAAAGTGGCAATTCTACAGGGGAAGATTGAAATCTCTTACCGAGCTATTGGAAGCTCGGAGATGGAATTTTATTACACGATCCCGTCTTTCTTCTCATGCCCATGGGGGTGCTTATAAGCGCTAAGTCGACCTCTGATCGACGCGAGATCCATGCCCTTCAACGCAGGGGAACGTGCCATTTGTATCATTTGGCGCGTTGTAACGATAAGGGAAACCAGCAACTCGGCTCGGGTGGGACATGAGTCCTGAAATAATTCAATATTCAATACTTACCAGGTATTCAACATTCGAGAGATGCTAATCTGAAAAAAGTCGATATATATATGTTTTGGACCAGTGGCCTATGATCTTCTTCAAATGCTCCGATGCCCAGGTTGCAATTGGCCCCGCCAGTTCACAAGGGTTTAATTTTGAAAAGGTCGAACCAACTTACGACAACCTTTAGCTCTTGTCTACATCTACATTCACATCTACGTTACATAGTTGTTTCTCGGTTCTCAAGCTCTCTTAATTACCTCACCACCTCACCCCCGGGCTCTCATCTTAGGGTAACACAAAGTTGTCCAAGGAAGATATGACCACCGCTTCGTAAACAACTAAGGATACCCTTTTTTTTTCTTTTGCGGGGAAACGAAGAAGAGAGAAACTACTGCAGCTGACCGCCAAAACACGGCTTGTCCGTCTTGTCCGTCTAACATATTCCTTGTCTTATCCCGCGAAGGATTCAGATTGCGCCGAGTAAAAGCAACAAGGTCTCGTTGTATGGGTGTGGTAGATTTGTGGTAGATAGTATGACGAAGAGGGAGTAGGTCGTTTGCCGGTTGTATCACCAAATTTCAAAAAAAAAAGGAACCTGGATACAGGGTGCCCGTCCCAAATTCAGCCGTCCATCTCCCCTCCATCTTCTACAAACCCTGCCAACCCTTATCCAGCTTCGAGATTCTAAGAGAGCTTCCCCTTCGAGTCCCCCGTCCAACCGAGTTCCTCCCAGACTCCTTCCAGACTCCCCTCGCAACTCACAATCTTGTTATGCTGCCATTGCACTAAGCCGCGATACTGTCTTTTCGCCATCTCGAGACAATGAAGCCGCGAGTCGCGGCCGACACGACGCTTGACAAAACGGTGTCGCAACCTCTACCGTACCAGCAGTACACGACGTTGCATCCGAATCCTCCCCGCTTACCACCGCCGTGCTCTCACCCCCTGCCCTACCGACGCTACACAACGCTCGATTCCTAGCGAGTTTGCAGACGCAGACGCAGACGCAGACGCACGAGTAGACGCACGAGTAAATACGTCGCCTCATACGGCAGAGTCATGCCGTCCACAGAAGCCAATGCCGTCGAGGACACGCAATTGGGCCTGACCGATGAGGAAATAAATCTCCTCCGCTACCACCAAGCTCAGGCCGGTTCTTCTTCCTCGCGCGCCGCCAGCCGGGCCTCTTCCCAAGGCCGCCTTCTTCTCGATAGTTCTAGCCTCGCTGCGCTAGCACGACACCTCGACCGCTTGATGCAGCAGATCCAGCAGCGCATCGAGTATCTCAGCGAACAGAGCTCTGTCGTGACTATGCAGCAGTATGACCATGCAGGCAATCTGGTGGACAATGCCGATGCTGAAATTGCGCGCTTTCAGGGTATTATGGCTCAGATCGACGAGCTTGAGCTCGACTTTGATCGCATCGCTCACATTAGAGACATCGTGAGGGATTACCGACAACGAGTCGAGAATCTCGAACGCGGACTCGAGAGCGCATCACGTCGAGAACATCACCACTCTCACCGCCACAGCCATTCGCATCGACAAGAAGGCACCACTTCCGGTCGCCGACATAGACACTGAATATGGTTATTAAAATGGAGGAAACCTAGCTGCTATCCCGTGGATCGGGGTATTAGAACGCAGTTCCGCTTCGGAAGCGAGAAAGGGCATCAAGGCCCACTCGATTTACAGTCTTTAATGGAAAATTTGCTGCTGGACGCAGAGAAAAGGGGTATCAAAATTTTATGGCACGGGTGAATAGAAGCACAAGGTCACACGACTACGGGGAAACGACCGAGGTACTGAGTCGATTGCTACCTCGGACGCGCCGGCGGGTAACCATAGCACCGCCTCGGGGAGGCATTGTCGATATTTGAGCCGAAATACGCTTTACGGCTGACAGAGTGCTATATGGAGGAAAACAAAATATCTACTGCTTTCTCATACCGTACTTATCGAAGATGAACGGAGCCTCGCGGCTGGACAAGAAGGGGATAGCCTCACGGCTTACTTTTTTCTGGGGACTTCTACGGCGTTGGTGTTTTCTTGCCGCTTATCATTTATACTATTTTTTTTTCTTCTTCACAATACCCCCTTTCGTCACGAGATTGGATATCCTTGCGAATAAGCGAGCAAAGCCTGCTCATCTACTTTTTATTTACCCATTCGTATATCTTTTATCATATTATATCATATTGTTGGCTGCGCGTCGTTACTACGGAAAGATACCTCTGGTTGGGCTCATTGTTTGAAAATATGTCCTTTTTGTATACAGATAATGTTCGTTCTGAAAAAGCTTTGGGAGAAAAGAAACACTCCGTTATTCGTGGGCTATTTATTATTATTGTTGAAATACTGGGTGTTGTGTGAGGTTTTAGGGGTAAATGCCATATGGCTTACATTAGTGATATTATGATATTTATATTATGCGTTTTACTGCTAGCCCCTTTGCCTCGTGCCTCGACACAACAAGCATAACAAGTTGCTCAAACAGCAATAGCTGGAGAGGGAAGTTGTGAATATTTCAGAATAGCCGGTATTAAGATGCCATCAGAAAGTCAGACAGTCAACTAGCCTAACTTAGGTACCTTGCGGGAATTGTTTCGGTGTACATTAAAGCTACGTACTCGACACCGACTAACTCCCCGAGAAGGATTCCCGGACATCAGGAATGGGGACGGGGGTATCTAAACTACCATACATCCATCCATGATGTTTCTCAACTCCGACCCTACGACTTTTTTCTTCTTTTTCTTTTTCTTTTTCTTTCTGGGTTACATTGCGCGACTATTTGTAAGGTGTCTCACTCTTATATACCTATATATACCTACCTATATATATGAATTACACGTAGTTATCATAGAGGTATATACCACAGTCATACTCCAATACCGTACTTCTTCCCGAACTATTCCGAGCCGAGTGCGTAGCGGACGAGGCTGATGGGCGCAGATGCGTGTGCTGCTTACCGGACGTGGTACATATTAAGTAAGTAAGTCCTTCGGAGCGTTATGGATAGTTACCTATATAATATGCGCATGGGTTTATCTTAGGTGTAGAGTTCCCGGTGTGTAATTCCGCAGGTTTTAGGTATGCGCTGATATATCGGGGATTATAAATGTACCTTAGGTAATCTAGAGAGATATTTTCTGAGGACATGGTGGACTATTATAGATGTGGGATATATGGGTTGGATACTTGGGGATGCAACGGGCTAGGTTATCTGCTATGATGTGATGGACAAGTCCAAGACATCTCAAATGAACCGTGATATAATACACTTGACTTTATATTTTCCCATTTGGAATTCATTCGCTACTCGACTGGTGACCTTCTTATAAGTAGATACGCTGGGTAAGTATCAATTGCTCGCTACCAGATAATAAGTTGTGTACCGCACCTAAACTACTTCCATATCGTTCATCTCTCCTACAAAGAGCCCAATATATTTGCCTTAGGTACCTGTCCGTCTGTCGAAAGCGTATTTCAAGGCCAGTGTATCACTCGCCACAACCCCCCTTCCCATCATATATGTACTGGCTACCTTTTCCCCATCGCACCGCCAGCAAACAGTTCTTCGGAATCCACGTACTTGAGCTTCCCCCTCACCTCCTGGGGTAGATCCTCCTCTGTGACCAAGCCCATCTTGACACAGTCGCCAAGGAAAAACATAGCGCGGTCCTGCGCGTACGCAAGGTAGTCGAACTCCGCCGCATCGCCTACTTCCTCCTCCGGTGCTGCGATAGCTGTCGGTTGCACGGCTCCTTCTACGTCATCTGCAGCGTTCTCGTCGAACCCGGGTATCTTGGCCTGCATGATGCCCCAAGCGACCCAGTGAGCGCTGTTTGCGACGCGCCAGATGCGTGTCTCTTCCACCAATGCGTCAACTTGGGTGCCGGCCTGCTCTTCGCGACGGCGATCCTCCTCTTTCCAGCCGCCTGGCGGCGCGCGCGAGTCTAGCATGAACTCCCGGATCGAACTTGTGGAGCCAAGGCTCGTGGCGGCTAGGCCGGGCGTACTGGGCTGTAAAGTCGGAGTCGCTAGGGGTGTTCGGTTCGGCGTCGAGGCACCCGGATGCGGAAAGTCGGGCCGGTGGTTGACGTACGCCCGTATGAAACGACGCTGCTCTTCCGGCGTGGGATACCTCGTCGTGTCGCACGCGAAAGGGGCATCCTCGTTGTGGTAGTTGTAACACCATTCCGTGAAGTGGTTTGCAAACTCTAAACCCCTCGTGTTGGCAGCCGAGTACTCAAAGTCTATAACCACGAGCTGCTTATGTTCATAATGGGGTTGAAGTAAAGGTGACTTCTTGTCGTCAGGCCGGACGCGTAAGATGTTGCCATATTGAGTCTACCGCAGATTAGTATGGTATTTTAGAATAATTAAGTTGGATATATGCTCTTACATCACTATGTGCGAATACTAGACTCTCTCGTATAGCACGGGAGCCGCCATAGTAATCGTTCAAGAATCTCCGATACTTATCTACCAGCTCCTTAAACACAGCCCACTCAACTCCACAGACGAGACCTCGCAGCTTCCATGTATCTGCTGGACCCTTGACGGGACCAGGATTACCAGAGAGGATTTTTCGATCCAAGTAGGTGATCACACGTGAAGTTCTATTGAGCCAAGTATCCCAGTTTTTCAGAACCATAGGCCCGCCATCCCTTTCTCTGTCCAGGAGTTCTATTCCATCGTGTAATTCCCTCATTCTCTTAGCAATTTGCTTCGACGTGTCTGGATCTCTGATATCATCTGCTGTGAGAGTGACGGCGTTGAGGTATTGCTCGAATCGGCCGTTAGTAAATGTCCCTAACAAACGAGGCCCAATTTTCTTCTTCGCGAGCCTCCTCAACACATTCAATTCGTTCTCCCTGTCGATAATCTGATCGGCTTGGGGACCATAAATTCTCAATAATAGTTTCGCGGGGGTTTTCTTATGCCCTTCGCCTGTCATCATTATGTTATCTGGCGGAGAGACAACATAGACAGCATTCGTCAAAGCCCCACTGAGGCGCGTCACATCGATACTCTCTCCACTATCTAGAGGAACACGTCTCCAGCCCTTGAGCCTTAAGGTATGAGTCAACTTAATGATTTCGTTCTTGAAGGTGATCCAAGCTCTCCGCTCCTTCCCTTCTTTCCTACTCGAAGAAGAGACGTCATCTGTGGAAGAAGGTTTCCCCCCAGAATAGCCTAATGTTTTGGAGTTATCGAGAACTGCGTCACATGCCGGAACCAAAATATCGCCATCATGATACTCTGTGTCGGATGAGATCGGTCGGTGCATAGTGACGGATCTTTTCCGTGATAACTTCTTCCCAAGCTTTGAGCTATAGTGCGGAATCCCATGGAGACCCAAGGCACTCATGCCATCGTCGACAATCTTTTGGAGCCTATCAAAAGATGTGTCACTGGATTGGGAATCAATAGAGTACGCCCTAGCTCTCTCGGACGGCTGCTGTGTGTCGGTTTTATCGGCGTCATCCTTGGCGCCTTTCCGTCTGTTCGAATGAACCCTCCTCGACCGCCTATTTTGTCTCTTGACTCGCTCATGTTCTAACCAATCGGAAACCTGAGCAACAAATCTATCTATTTGGTGATGATGATGAGAATGCGAACGACCACCATCTTGTAAATTATGATGAGGGGACTGGCTGCGAGTATGGCTACTTTGCGGCTCTAAACTGTTCTGACTTTGGAGTGAAGTCCTAGAAGAGTTGTGGTCTAGCATAGGTGGACGGCCGCTTAAGCGTTTCGCAAGTCCAGCTGAATATTGTCTTTTAGGGTGTATTTCCTCTAAATTGTCCTGATCCGGTTCAGGTTCAGCTATCTGTACGGCTAAGATAGAGTAAGCATAGTGTGACGGTAAGGGAGAAATTTTGCGGATAGTAGAAAGTACATGAGAGCTTCCTCATGGGCTTCCACGAACGGATACCTGCGTCAAAAAAAAAGACTTCTTCCTTTTTAGATTATTTTATATATCGAGCCTCGCCTACTTGACGCTTGGCGCCTGGATGCATATATCCTCGAGTTCGGCGATCGCGATACTCTCCAATCTAGGACTACCTACTGCGTTTTCTAGTAAAAGGGGCTGCATATGCAGAATCCATCTAGGCAGCAAGGTAATACAAATTACCATCAAGACCTCACGCGACCACGTGGCTTAGTGAAAAGGCGGAGGACATGAGAGACATGGTAGCTCCCGACGGTGAAGGGCAAAGATAATTAAATTGACCAACCTTTTGTACTCGTAACATTGTTTTGAGAAGACGGCCTCTCCAGTTCATCGTCCTGCTTCAAAACAGACCGGAGCGGTTGTCCCTCGCCGGTGAGGATCGGTGTAGACGTAGACATGTCGAAAGGTGTCCAAATAAATGAGGGGCAGGGGGGTGATGATGGTAAGTGTTTAGACTTTAGAAAGCTAGTAATAAAAGATAGGCTTCTTTTGTTAAACATAAAGATAAAGATCAGATGATATACGCCACTTGGTATAATAGGGGAACAAACAGGCCTTAGGATTCACTAGTGGAACTGAGGCTTTATTTTGTGCGAGTGTGATGAGTGTGATGAGTGCGAATGCGAAGGATTGTCAACGAAGAATTGGCTGAAGGAACCGAAGAACATGGACTGATAAGAAGTCGCATATCATTGAAGAAAATGATAATAAAAAAAGTATTGTCAACTAGGGTAAGTACCAGGGCTATCGGGTAGTCGCGAATCCGCAGTACCGGGAACCCCTTGCAGCATACGTCGCAGGGAATGTACCCTTGTGATAACCTTAAATTAATTGCGAGAAGCAGCTGCTTCCGTTCTAAGGGCAATGGCGTGTTAGGTATGCGTAAATAATTTCCCTTGATATATTAATATCTAGATTGTACAACAGCTAGGTGCTGACTAGAAAACTGATATAACAACGCCGCGGCAAGAAACTACAATTGGCCGGCTGTCGGGCTTCTCAACATTGAAGCGTATTGACGTTCTAGAATTCTATTTCGTCTGACCTCTTAGACTCATTTCTAGGGGCACGTGCTCGACCTGAATGACGTAACAATATGTACATCGATAACGCAGGGCATAGCAATCAGGGTACATACTGGGGATGACTGTCTACCAAGACGTAAGCTCCATATAATAAGAGTGACACTATCCGGGTAGGCTGACAACTATGACTAAGAAAGTAGAGTGTCAATCTATTAGACTTACCGAATATAAGTGACTTATACGCGTTAAAGGTCTTAGAACTTAAGATCTCTTGACTTATACAAGTAGCTAATTTCAGTCAACTTTTATAATAACTAACGAGGGTAATATAAGTGTAGACCTTTAATTTTCGTATGAAAAAACACTTGTCTTGTATATTAGAGAATTAAAGTAGTTTAAACATAAAAAGCTCCTTGCCGGAAAGTATATATTTCAGTAATATTTGTATTTTAAATACCTTTAAAGGAGCCATCTATAGTCTAAGGCTTATTAGCAACCATTAAGTTTCATATAATGAAAGAAATAATAATGGAAGGAATTCGTTATAATAACATATACATTTAAAGCTCGTAAGTAACGTAATACGTAAATATAGATTAACTACAATTTCCTTAATCTCAACCTTTACACACAGTTCTACAGCTTCACTTAACAAGCAACTTCTTCACATAACTATACTCATACTCATACTTATACTACCCCTTACTCTCAACCCCTTTACCCTCTCCCACCCCCATCAAATCCTCTCCTTCCACCCCTCCTGCCCCAAAGCCCACTCCACCGCCCCCTTAACATCATCAACAATAGCCCTCGGCTTAAACACCGGATCCCCTCCTCGTTCCGGGTTCCAGACCCCCGTCCGCACGAGCACCGACTTCCACTCCGTGCCCTCGGGGCTCTCGTACTCATTCGCCCCGCGGATATCGCTCGCCGGGTTATCCCCCACCATATACACCCTTTCCAACACCCCCTGCCCCTGCCCCTCCATTTCCGGGTCTAACCCAAGCACCGCCGCCCGATGCGCATTAAGCACGCGCTCCGCAAACTCATACGTCCTTCCGTGCGGCTTACCAATCGTAACGCGCTCGAGCTCCGCCGCCCCCGCCGTGACTTCTCTCCAGATCCCCGCGATCGCGGCCTGGAACGCGCCCTGGCCGAGCCGCGGGTGCGGATACCCTGCGGCCCAGAACAAATCCGGGTTCGAGAAGAAGAGGGGCGGTTGCCCGTCGCGCTGCCACCCGCCGTTCGGCAGGTCTTTGAGCCCGTTGCGCGGGGAGTAAGTTCCTAAGATGCCGTCTTTCGACATGAGCAGGTCGAGGATGATCTGGATGTCGAGGGCCCAGTCGCGCGGGTCGTTGAACACGAATATAGCGTCGATCTTGGGGTTTGGCGACGGTAGCGGGCGTGCTGTTTTTGCGTAGAGTTCCTCCATGAGCGGGTCGAAGGGCCAGACTGTGGGGTGGGCCGCTAGGATATCCGCGGGGGTGATGACGTGCCGGAAGCCGTACTGCTCGGCGATAACACGACACTTGGCGGCGTCGGAACCCGTGACAAGAATGTTCTTGTCGCGGAGGCCACCTTCGCGGCCGTGGGCCAGCTCCTGGAAGGGCGTGTGCGACTGGATGAAGTTATCCGTAGACAGCTCGACGCCAAGGCGGGCGCTTAGGTCCGCCACACGCTCCGTCTCGTGCTTACCGCCGCCGTTGGTCAGCAGGATGAACGGGATGTTGTGCTTCTGGAGGAACTCCAGGGTCTCCGTCGCGCCGGGGATCGGCTTTGCGACGTGGAGGAGGACGCCATCGATACTGGGAGCTGTGTAAGCCGATTGTCCTTAGGACCAAGAATTTCTTCCTTCTCGGTTCTCTCACTTACTCAAAGGCAAAAGCGAAAGGTGGTAGTTTAGGAGCCTTATGATCGATGCTATAGGGACGACCGACGAAGGATCCGGGTCTTATAGACGACCGCACGTAGTTTACACCTGAGCCTCGTCTTTGCGCAAGACTGCTGATAGCCCGAAGCGGACACGACGGTGCTCGAGCAGTCGAGTGGGACCAAGGAGTATAGCCCGACACCGCGCCGCCAAGAAATGGGCGAGCGCGAAATGCCTTCATTGTGAAGGATAAGTGGAAGTGGGAGAGAGGCACTAAGAATCGGCCGGTGAATTTACCTACAAATCATATCTCACTCATTTAGACTATAAATACCGTCACAATTGCCACATTCTCTTGTGGTAGAATTGGAGGTGAGTAGTGTAAGTTTAGACTCAAACCAAATTGATCATTGTAATAAATTGGGTAAGTTCGACTCGTTCATTCCACTGCGTTATCAAAAATAAGTAGACCCGGCTCTTATCGGAGCTCCATTCCGGAACCTGTGCAACTCGATAAATTCAATTGATGACGATCACCTTTAATTACTTAAGGTAGGCAGCTATTGAAAGTTCATTGGTGTAATAGAGCAAGAGGACTTGGTATTTCATATTTGAGGCGAAGATGGTATTTTGTTAATCGTAATCTTTATACAACGTAGAGGTGGATTCTCTAGCCCAGGCTCGCGCATCGACTCTTGTCTATATAATATACACAAGCACGCCTTTATGGGCAGAATTGATACTATGATGTATCAATTAAGTACCTGATAATATCACAGGCCGAATGGGAGAGCATCACTACATCATATGCACCCTCCCTTATTTCTTCCAATCCTTTATATGATCCAATATAACCTTCGCCGCCTGTTCGGGGCTATGCTGGCGTCCCAGTGCCTCTACGAAGTCGCCCTCGGGGTCCATCAGGTAGAAGTAAATGCTGTGATCGACCAAATAATCCTGGCCAGGCTTGACGTCTCGCGGCGTGCTAAAGTACACACGGTACGCTTTGCACATGTCCTTGATCTGCTCGTATGTGCCCGTCAACCCTATAAACCGCGGGTGGAACTCAGCCAGATACGACTTGAGCACCTTGGGGTCGTCACGCGCCGGGTCGCACGTCACGAACACGGGCGTCAGGGCTCCGGGACACTGCTCTTCGACTAGGTCGAACATCCGCGCCATCTTGTCGAGTTCCTCAGGGCAGATGTCTGGACAGTGGGTGAATCCGAAGTAGACCTGTCGATATGACGTTAGCCGGCAATTCCTTATACCAATACCCTATACCAATTCTAATATTCTTAGCAGGGGCAGTAAAAACCCACCAGAGAATGCCGGCCCTTCAAATCCCTACTCGAAAATGGTTTCCCATCCTGATCGATCAGATTGAAATCCCCTCCAACCTTCGGCCGCCCGACACCCTTGGTAGCCTCGGCCACGCGCTTACGCTGCATGCGCTGCTTCTCGTGTTCGAAGTACCATACGAGCCCCGCGCTCGTGAGCACGAAGAGCAAGCCTGCCTTCCACGAGAAGGGCCCCGTCCGGTATCTACTAAGCGCCTCCTCTACCGTCTTCGCCTTATAACGTCGCTGCTCGAGGGGTCGAGCGTTGGCTTTACATTGTTGCTGGGGGTGCGAGAGCGCTGCTGTGGGTCGTCGCGGGGAGGATGTCGAAGTGGAGGGGGATGTCGAGAGAAAGCGGCGGCATTGCTGTGTCCGAGGGCGGGTTTGCAGAAGAGATCGTAAGAGCGGTTGCGGAGTTGCTATTGAGCGCGACATCTTTATAAACCCCAGCACCTTACGGGTTGCGAGATTTGCGACTTGTGACTTGTCTATTTGATTTGGGCTGTTCGAGTAGCTTAAAAATTATTGTACGGAGCTTCGACGAATAGTCAGTTAGTCAGTTAAGACGGAACCTAATAATTCTTAGGCCGGCCAGTTCCGGGGTCTTGGCGTCTGGCCGAATAGGTACGCCGCTTTGTGGTAGCTTCAGCCACATACTGTACCTATCACAAGGTACATGTACCTAGGAAGCGGCCTTATATCGAGTCTACCTAATAGATGTAGCACAATCCTGCCTTTAGGTATCCTGCCTTTAGGTCTTTACAACTCAATTCTAAAGCCGGATTGGCTGGCAACCTACGTCAACCTCTTCGTTCAACAAGGATACTGAGACTGGAGCACATGTTCCGGAATGGAGGGGAACCGCAACGGCAAATTGCATTCCGTTGTCATCATCTATTATTATAACTTACAAGAGCCAGTTCCTACAGTTTCTCTGCAGAGAGGGAGAGTGAGGCAAAACAACATCGCCTGTCCTCGAGTCTTCTCTCCTCGCCACCTCTTTCCCGCCGAGAACCAAACCGACGTTATTAACTCATTTTCATTATGCACAGTCCGATAGGGGTCGTAAAGCCCTCCCAAAAAAAGAAACATCCGTCAATCATCAATACCTCTTTGCAAAGGTCAAGTGTTGGAAGTGAACAGTAAGATAAAATGCCCAATGCAAGTCGCAAGTCTTTTCTTTTTTCGCAAATGCCGTCAGAATGCCCACCTGCCGAACCAAGACCATTTCCCGTACACTCCTTACACTACCCTCACCACTCAATATTACCCATACTCTGCTGAAAACGAAAACAGAGCGGCGAACGCAGCTCCGTCTATCTTTCGTCAATGCCTCCATACGCCGAAGGAAAAGCTCCGTCCTGATACTAGTAAGGAGGAAGCGAAGAGAAAGAATCTCTAGGCAAAATCATCAATCGATGAAGTCCTGGCTGGCATCGAATTATTAGGAAATCTCATATGAACGCCAATAGTATGCCAACACAAGCGAACGGCTTGATGTCGTCCTCCAAAAGATCTGTAGTTACGGTTCTGGAATTTTGCGCAAACAAGAACAGGATTCGATGATGCATGTCAATCTCGGTGACTTTAGGTTGTAAAACAGGTTGAATCCGTATAAAGAGATCGGTACCATGTAAGCATTAAGGCCGGCTGACCTGACTCTGGCTCGCGCTCGTACGGCTCCGCTCTTCCTCTTCCTCGAGCACGTCACTTAGGCGTGTGGGGTGATGGTGACGCGGAGCACTGCCTATGTCATCCCAAGGCCCCGAGTATCCAGCACCGCTATAATCCGGAGCTGCCGAGTACTGCGGCTGTTGCTGTTGAGAACCCGTGCCGGTCGGCTGATAGACGGCCGGCTGAGTAGCGGGAGTCTCGAACTCTTCTGCTGCAACGTCAGAACCCTGTGAAGCATGGGTACGGGTTGGATTGGTATGTGCAGAAGGATTGTGCTCTTGCGTGTCTCGAACGGGGTTTCTCGCTGCGCCATTGGCAATACCATTGTTGTACTGACCTTCGCTGTAGGTTCCTTCGGAACCGTAGCTCTGCTGGTGCTGAACAGACGAGGGTGTCTGGAAAGCGGGATTATTATCACGCGAAGCCGGGGTTGACTTAACCACAGGGGCTTGAGAGTACTGAGGACGATCAGCGCTAGGCGACGTATGCGACTGAGCATAACCCGCCGGCTCCGTTTGGTTGTAAGAGCGAGGGTCTCGCTGGGAGTGGCCGCGGCCCACACCTTGCGTCATAGGGACGACCTGAACGCCGCCAACGATAGTGGGTTGGCCAAGCTGTAAAGACATAGTGCGATCACGCTCCTCTTGCTCCCGTCGTCCAAGTTCCTCCCACGCGCGCCTCGCTTCCTCCTTAGAAATGGTCAATTCTTTGCGCAGCTCATTTATCTGCTTTTGCATCTTAGAGGTGCCTTGCTCGTGCTCGACGGCTTCGCGAATCGCATCGGCTCTGCTCCTGCGTTCCTCTTCGAGAGCCGCCTCGAGCATACCAGTGACCTCTTGAGAACGCTCTATCTCGGCGCGGGTCTCGAAGAACCAGCGTTGGAACTTACGCTCCGATGAGGCCCGCAGGCGTTGGAGTTCGACCACGGCGTGGAACAGATTAGCACCTGCAGAAGAAAGGTCCGTCACTTGTCGTGATAGCTGCTGAGAGATAGGGTCCTGGCTGATCTCCTGCGCACTCTGCTCCAACCTACGGATCCAAAAGCTAGTAAGGCCTTCCCAATGAGCTGACAAAGTTTCCCAGCGCTCAAATGCATGAGGAAACGAGTTTCTACCTCGTCCGAGAGCTGTTGAAGTTTCGCCTAGCTGAGGAGGCTGCTGCTGCTGCTGGGGTTGGGTTCCAGAAGGACCGGCTACTCTAGGGCCGGAAGAGGTGCCGGGAACTCCCTGCGTATCGGAAGTAGTTCGCCCATGTCGCGCCGACTGCGACGGTTGGGCTGCCGTAGGAACTCGCGATTGTCCCGCCTGGCGGGCATTGTTATCTATGGTCGTGCGACCAGGCGCGGCTGGCTGCGCCGGTCGTCGGGAAGTAGTGGGATCGGTGCCGGCGGGGACGGTACCGGCTCCATAAGTACCAGCGCCAGCAGCGGCGGCAGCGGCAGCTCGGCGCTCCGCATCTTTTCGCTCTGCTTCTCTTAGTTTTGCCTCTTCTAGCAAACGCATCTCGTTTTCGGCATGTTCCTTCTCTAGGCGTTCACGCTCCTGCTCTTCGCGCTGTCGTTCACGCGCAGCCTCTCGCGCAGCTCTCTCCTGCATAATTATCCTAGGACCTCTAATTCCGGAAGGAGAGCCGACGGCTGCTCGTGCCGTAGTAGGCCGTGCCGGCAAAGCGCCATTGCCATTAGAGGTCGCAGGGCCTCTGCCTCCCATAAGATCGGACATTGGCGAATATAGCTCGACCAGGTCTTCCGAGATCTCTCTAGGGCCGCGTAATGTCTGCTCAAGGGCATACAATATAGCACTGTGAGTTTGCTTTGAGATGCGAAGGGCCGGATGCGGTTCGGGTCTATTCGGGTCCGGAACAGATCGACTCGCCTCAAAACGTGGCTCGGGAGGGTTATTTGAGGTCGCTTCGGAATCGTTACTTAAATTCCCTTGGGAAAGCTGCCGTCTGGGCTGTTTTGGACGGTCTCTCCGAGCTTGCTGGTCAGCACCCGCTAGAACGTATCGCCCTTGAGGCCCGAGAGTAACAGTAACTCGATTGACTGGTTGGCGCGCCTGTTGCGCGTCTGGCTGGGAGATAGGCGAGGCCGAGAAGCGCGGGGTCCTACGAAGTCGGTGAATAGAGGAAGGGGTGGCTGTTGATCTTCGATCTGGCGGAGGATGTTGAGGCGATTGCTGGTGAAGTCCGTGCTGCTGGCGCTGGTGTGTTGGCGTAGAAAATTCGTAACGGTCGTGACGGTCGTAAGAAGGTGCGGTAGACTTTAGTTCTGTCAACTTTGCTGTCGGTTCCCCACCAGCGCAATCTGAAGCCGAGTTCGACAATGTGAGCAGTCACCACAATTGTGGTGAGACACTCGCAAAAAATAATACGTCCTAACTATACACCAAAACCGTAAAAAACAAAACAAGCCAAAGCCTCGGCCTCGATTTAGGTAGCGCGGATATGAGAGGTCGGCTGCAAGACTTAGGTTGATGTGCAGATGTATGTAGGTAAGTGATGTGTACAACCAAGGAACACAGCAGGGCTGGGCTTAGTCGAAGAGGAAAATGAGGGAATGCAAAGTATGCGGGATTGTATAGTAGGTATCTCTAGGTAAGCGGGGATAGGAATTGGTACTTCCAGATTCAAGGGGGAAGGTGTTTGTTGTGAGGGATGGTAAGATCTGGTGATGGAGGTTGTAAAGAGGGAGGCTGGGCCAATGTGGAAAATACGGATGGCTGGTTTGTGTTTGAGGATGGATATAATCGCGACGACCCGGTCGGCGGGGATGCGTAATGGCGGTCTTCAAACGTGAAGACGGTGAATATCGTTGGAAAAAAGGAGTGCAACGCGTATTAAGCGTATTAAGCGTATTATCGTAAATGTTGACCTCGAAGTCTTTTACAATTGTTTTGCTTTTTGCTTCTGTCTCCCAGTCTCCTGGTCTCCCAGCGCATCTCTCCTAGATATCCTAGCAACCGGGTGCCCAAAATGCACCACCTACGTTACCATGCAAACCCAGCGGCGACAGCAGCGCCAGCGCCGCCCTGTCGCTGGAATAACTGCAGGCTTAGCAAATGATACGATTGGGGGATTTGAATACTTGGATAATAAAGAAGTATTTGCTAGCATGTTTGCATTTCAATGGCTTATTGTTTAAGTTAAAATTTTAAGAAAAGAGCTGGCTAAGATTAAAAGAGACGCTCCTTCTGGACACGACATTAAGACACGACACACGACTTGGAAGGTACGATTTTGAGATGATTACCTCTTTTCTTTTCCGCTTTCTGCACGGTCCACTTTCTGTTTCCAGTTTCTAGTTTCCAACTGGTCTTTGGTCTTGCATCATTATCACCGTAGTATTAAGAGACATTTAAAATAGGTGACACGGAGATTATTCCAATATCTTACTTGTTTCAATAGGTTCCCTTCATCGTTGCTTCATCACACATAACATCATCCCGTTTGTCGTTTGTTGTATGAAGACCCAATATGTATATCACACGCAGACGTCCAAATCCACGGTGATCCTAGGATTACATGCATTTACTTGATTTCGCCGTTCGGATCCTTCAACGATGATTTTACATTGGACGAACTTTCTAGCTATTCAATACTCGGTAGATGACTGGTCAAAATTCGACTGCATCCAAATTCCCGTCTTGATGCGATAAGGCTATCGGAGTTCCAATATCTCTCCAATGAGCATCATCGAACTGGATATCTTAGGTACCTTTAGCTCGAGGATTCCACGATAGTTACAAAGCTGGGGAAAGGCTGTGACGCCGCAATAATCCAGATCTGCCCAGCTTTCATCGCACAGCGCACGTTCTCACCAAAATCGCAGAATTGATAATACCCAGGAGACGGGAGCAAGGCAGGAAAATAAAATTCGGTGGGGGCGAGGATACCCGGGACATTTCCATCATGAGAATGTCATAAGGAAGAGATGAAGTAAAAAAAAATATCTAAAGTGTGCGTTGGCAGCTTGGTGACGAAACATTCCTAATTAGTGTCATGCAGGCACTGGTAGAGAGAAGGCCTACTCACTAAATGCTGATAGGCTCGAGATCGTCCCAAAAAGCTGGATGCACGGATCTTTTGGATACCTATTTACCCTAGGTTTCTCCATCTGTCTCGGTTGGTTCCTGAAGATCTAGAGACATTTAATGTTACGGCAAGCAAACGCAAAGAACCCTAGTATTCAGTTCGAAAAAAGGATATTCAGCCTGATAGCCTCGGTTTCGAACATATAATCTTATTTGGGCTTGCTCTAGCAGTAAAAGGGGCGGCTACTAGGGATAGAAAGATCGTCTGAGGTACTATGGAATCGGTGCACTAGCTATGCACAATTCGCATAGTGTACTCTTAGTAAGAAGCTGAGAGCTGCAGGAATTACGAATGGATATCCCAACATAAACGCTTTACTAAATACCTAATGTATAAAACTTGGAAGAACCAAATCGACAGCAGACTCGATGAGCTCATCACCAAAAGCTATAAGACATCCTTTGTCTACACAGAAACCCATCGAAAGCAGCATGGGACGACCCGCCCCTCCACCTAGAAGTTATAGCTTTAAGCAATTGTCCAATCAGAAGCTTCGGCGAAGGTTCTATGATCTTTAAGCTTGAGCTCAGCATAGCTCAACGGCGGTGCGTGGCAAAACGGGGCGGGGTAGCAACAGAGCTGTTTCTTTCAAGAAAACTCCAAGCTGTTGAGCTGTCATGTCAGATGACTTCTTCGACTTCATACCAAAGGCATGGGAATATACCGGTTCCGTCGACGATTTCGCTTAATACATCATCTTTTAAACACGGGAAACCCGAGGCTTCCAGAACGTCATTTAGATATCCACCTGATCGGTTTGAGGCCAATAGACTTGGTTAGTGCCGAGATGACCACCACCAAGAGATGGCGTCCGAACTACTTCACTTAGCGGTCAACCGTCTTTACGAAGGGGCGAGTGCCGAGACGGCACGCACACAGGTAGGCGTTCTCTTTTTTGTCTCGTGCTTACTGCATAGGTATAGACATCAAGCCGCCAAAAGCAAATATGACTCCAGAACATACGAGTAAGATCAGCCAAGGACTCTTTAATCAACCAGCGAAAAAGACCTACATAGAAGAGCTTGAAACAGCGATAGATCAATAACCCTAATAATCGTGAAACTAGATCCGCACAGAATAGTAAATTTGTAACTTTGGGGAATAGAAACCCCGAGTCCTAATCCTGATACTATATACATGCCTAATACGGCGGTGGGAAGCAAGCATACATGCAGGACGCTGGTGTAAGGCAACTCTAAAAATAGGTAAGCAAGGTAGCCCTCGCATCCTATGACTGAAAAGATCTAGACAACGAATGCAGCGCGCGATTTAGGACTTCACGTCGTACGATGGTATTAACTTAGGTTAGGTAGCTACATACATAGATGCGTTGTTCGTGGGCCAGACCTATACTCGGTACGACTCTTCGTATCTAGCTAGCTAGATAGGTACCTCTACCTATGTAACTTTACTTGTTCGCGTCATTCTTCTCATTCTCGCGATCGGGACTCTGTAGATTAATTGAGCGCAACATGTTTACTAGGCTATCGGGGCCATGTCATGTACGATAAGCTAGTACGGCTACATACAGGAGTTGAGTCTTTTAGGTAGTCTACGAAGATATGGTGTTACGTCGAGTCAGTAGCGTGAGGGAATCGTGCCATTGAACATTAGAGGTAGATTTGTCTAATTACAATAGTATTAGTTTCTATATACGTGGGTCAGGTAGATGTGTGTTGTTGGTTGTTGGTAGTTGTTTGGTATCTTATTTTGCGTCCGGCACGCGCCGACCCCTCGTCTAAGCCATGGCAGTGTTTTCTAGGTACAGTGGGTTGTTCATATCACGGGGAGAGAAAAAGCTACACGCTTAGTAGTCGTAGCGGTAGCAGAAGTGGCCCTGCTGGGTGTTGAGGAGGTCGCGGACCTTGAGGTCGGGGCACTTGGAGCCGCAGATGTTGCCGATGTAGACCATGGTGTCCATGGTCAACGGCGAGCAGGTGGCGCTGTCGGCACACCCGCTGATGCTCGTGCGTCGCGACACGTCGTCGATCTGCCACTTGCGGAACGCGTAGTCTACGAACAAGTGGTGCATGAAGAAGGTCGGGTCGCCGGGCGAGGCAATGGCATCGGCCATCAGACCGCCAACACCGTTGTGGCCTTGAGCGTGGAAACTGTATACAATGTTAGAAACTAACTAGATTATATTCAAAAGATAGGAAATAAACTCACGTGAACTCGACGCAACTGTGGAAGTCAGGGTACGAAGTTCGCGACATGCAGGCGTTCCAGGCGTTCGTGCCGGTCTGAGTGGTGGTCTGCTCGTTGACGGCACGCTGGAGGCAGTGGGGGTTGTTGACGGCCATGCCGGGTCCGAGACTTAGCTGCAGGCCGGCGAATTTTCCGGTGTTAATACAGACAGCAGCGCCGTTGTTGGGACCGGGCAGGGTCCCAAAGTACTGGTCAGTGAAGATAGTCGCCTGGGCGAACTTTCCAGCCCACTTCTTCTCGTCCCACCACGGCATCGCCCTGTCGAAACCGCACTCGTCGCGGAGAACCTGCTCGAAAGCCCACACGTAGTACCGGTGCCACAGCAGGAACTTGTGCGTCTGCTTAGTCGTAGACGGGCTGTGGATGTTGGGCGAGTACGACTGGTGCAGGCGCACGAAATCCTCGTACCGGTTCTTCGCCGGGGAGAAGTTGCCCGAGGCGGGCTTCTTGATCAAGCACTGGATGGCATCGACGAAAGCCTGCTTGTCCGAGGAGGAGTAGTTGTCCCACTCGTAGCGGATAGCCGGGTTGGCGCAGTCGCCGTTGGCGGCGGTGCTGTCGACACTCGCGGTGCTCATCTTCTCGTCGTTGGAGAGGCCGAAAACATCATGAAGGATCTCCTTGGCCTTGGTCGAGATCGGCAGAGCGCTGAAGTTAGTTCCGAGGAGATCGATCTTGGCGATGGCATCCTCGATGGAGATGGAATGGACCTCTCCGAAAGTGTTGAGCGGCAGACCTTGCTGGACGGCCGGGATCGACGCGGCTGATACGGCCGATACAAAAAGAGCGACAGAGACCTTCATGGTTGCGGGTAGTAACCGTATATATCTATATATACACGATGACTATAGGAAATATAACGAGTGACAGACGATCGAGACCGTTAAGGAAGCAAAGCCTAAGCCAAGCTGCCATTGAGGCGCCTACCAGGTTATATACCCTCCTCGGCCACTCGACCAGTTGCGGGTCCATTCAATGTCTTCTAGAGCCCTTTGTGGAGTGAGTTGCCGACTACTACGTAGTATGTAGGTATGGATGAGAAAGCCTACACATCGTACCCCGGTCCTATGGAATGCGGGAATCGGCCGTGCACGCTTCTATACCGACCCTTGGGTCGAGAGTCATTGCGGTCAGAGGTGGTACGTTTAGATGCCGGATTGGTGTGTAACTATTACTTCATTCATCTAGGTAATACGGCATCTTGTCGTTTGACCACGCGGTGCGAAAGAGAGTCAGGAGCTGACTGTGCTGTGCCAGCATACATACGAGATTAACTATCGTTGTGGCGCAGACTAAGGGGATGCTAGCGGAGATTTCGCACAGAAAAAAGCAGGGGGAAGTCTGATCCTAACTTGGATCGAATATCATAAGCCATACAAAGTAAGCTCGTCAGTACGAATTGGGGAGCTGACAGCCTGTCAACCTACTGTCGACAACGGTGTCTAGCCCTACTCTTGGCCAATTAGGAAGTATGCCCATCAAGAGGATGCAGGGCCGGGCTTCCTTAGCGGCTCCGCTGGCCACGATGGGACCCGGCTTCATCACAATTTGGATACGAGGGACTAGCCTTCTCAAGATGGCGCCTGCATGGTTGTGGAGGGGTTTCCTGCTCGCTTGTTAGGTAAAAGGAGATATGCCATGCCGTCTGAGATCTGTTCAGCGGCATGTCTCTAATAGTAGACAAAGGTTATGGTGACGTTGTTGAAATAGTATGTGACTTGCAGACTCCAAGTGTCGAGTTATCCAACGGTTCTCGAGATAACGTGACGATCCGAAGCTGAAAATAGCTCAGGGGCTGACGTGGTAGTTCTGATACATAGATACCTTCCTGAAATTACCATACCAGCGTTTAGGTATTGGATATGAGCGGTTGTATGTAACCCCGAAACCCCCGCGGTTCAGGACCTGGAAGCCAGGCAGCCAACCAGAAGATGGCATGTTTTCATGGATTCACGTTAAGAGATCTTAACTGGGTTAGCAAGTCGTGATCCATATTTTAGAGCCATGCCCAAGTCTAAAAGAAAAAAAACCAAGAAAGGCCCAAGAAAAACTAGCATTACTCTGTAGAAAGTAACTATTTTTAATGTGCATGATGTGGGCTGATTGCAGAATTCGAAGCTTCGTATCGAACGGCAATTTCCTATTAACTGCTTCGGTTACGAAAGGTAGAGAGGGGCGGTAAATGGAAGTCCGTAAGCTCTCGGGAATTCAACGGTATTTAGTTCGGCCCCTCTCCCCCCTATTATATATCGGGACCGCTTAACCGCTTCCCAAGACCCAAAACTCCTATTTTAAATGTACCTACGTACGGATGTATTGGCAGATGAGAAAGCGTGGGGACCGCCGATGACGCGCATCGTATTACTGCGTAACAAACACACACAAAAAAATCTTATCCAGTTTTTAATCCAAGCAGTTCCAGTTTTTTACTTTACCCCTTATCTTGCTCATATAAAACTAATAAAAGGAGTTTTCCCACATTTTTTCTGCTTGGTAAAGTAGCTAATTAGATTTTCGTGGCGGTGCAATCGGATCGTCGGCGAATTAAACGCGTACCTATGTATGTATGTATGTAGGTAAGTGAGAAGCAATATTAAAGGGTGCTCGCATATATACTCATCCTTGTGGCCTTTATGGATTTATTGACTTGGAGGTGCCTTTTAGGGGATGGCGTACTGTATCTGTATATTCTTGGAAACAATAAGGAAGCAATAAGGCTGGGGGAAAAGCTTGATCTGCATATGCGCTTGCTTATCTGGGGTACCGATAGATATCCATGCATGGAATTGCACTTACAGAGTGCAGATAGTTGCGTATGCTTCTAACAGCATACCCATATTCATAGGAGGTAATCCGTACCCATATTTTTATTGGGCTATCTCGGCCAATCGCTCATTACTCATTTTGACTTGTAAGTCCGTCTTACGTACGGATTACTCTTATACAACTCTTATACGAATTCTACGACTTGTCAGATAAAATGCAAGTCGAAATGTGTTGCCTCACACATCTCGTCCTAATCTCCATATTTTGCTTTGTTCAAGTCACCTAGGGACGAAACGTCCGGTTCCCGTAAAAAAATAAAATAAAAAAGGTGTATTTCCCCGACGCTTGTCTTGGGATAATAATTTTAGCAGCAGTCAAAACAGCAGGCGAAGTCTTCGAACATCAGTAAACGTCGGAATATTAACATAGGTATCTCTACAGATAGAAAATGCATCCAGCGACCACGACCTCCGTATTTCTAAAAACGGACGCTGACGAATGCTGCTCTGCGCTGGTGCTCGGCGAATATCGACGTGAACCCGAGACTTTGGGTCCCTCGAACAAAAGTCGAGAGGTTGCAAAGGTTACAAAGCTACTGCAGCAGCCGGCATTATCATCTTTCCACTGTGTTGCAGAAGGCGATCAATTACCTAGGTCCGGTTCCGTGAGGTTGGCACCGCTGGACTTTATGGACCTGCAGGACGCAATGTCGATCTCCAGGCACAGAATTCTGAATTCTCCAATTAGGCTTAACATATTTACGAGCTAGAATTACTCTTTGCACAATTCTATATCTCTGCATCTCTCATGCCTCTGCGTCTACGGAGAATCCGGGTCTCTAGATACCCGGAGAATCAAGTTCTCTCACCGTCTAGATAGACCAAGCCAATATCACATAACATAGAACGGGTTCTCACGTCTTCCAAGATTAGTGGCGGCCTCGTTCTACAGTCCAGACTTGCTTGGCTTCAACAGCCTCTCGATCACCAAGTCTTTTCCCAGGCGATTTGAAAGCTGCATTAGTGTTCAGCTCGATGATGTCCATTATTGGGATCTTAGCTGTAGGTAAATGCAGACCTGAGTACCGGAGACGCTCCGAGCCTGTGGGTTTCAGCCTCAGTGGATAGATTTGCCGTGGAGGCGCAGGTCTTTGAAAGACCGCCGGGACGGTGAAAGCAGGGGTTGGGTGCCGGAGCCCGAGCTCCCCTTTCCCGTCTCTTCTCTCCCTTTCCTTTACCCACTCTAACCTACCCTCCTTCATCGCTACTTGCTCCCTGCATATTCCGTTCCTGCATCAATCGAGGGTTACCCTCTATGGTACCTGGTTGGTTGGCTTGGTATGCTCCGTGAGTATGATATCTCTTCCCGATTAAGTGCACATAGCCGTATGAGAAGTGATCTCAGTTCTCTTTGCTTATAAGCTGTTAATTCAGAGACGTATCTGCTACTCCCGCATGTTTCAAGGCCGGTCCGCCCAGCCGCTGCTTGATGCTTGATACGGCCTCGATTCTTCTTTTTCGTCACTAGCAAGGCCGGGACGGGATTACAATCAAGAATCATAAACCGATTGCTCAGTCTCGCGAAGCACTAATATGCATATGTATGTACACAACCCGAACTATTGGACGATCTGCAATATCAAATACCCCAAGGGTGTCGATCTCCCGGAGCCTCAAAAAGGAATACATACCTGAGGTATCTAATCGCCTCCTACAATACAAGCATTCGGTGCTTTATAGGAGTTGGTCATGACGTCGATATCGCCGCGATGTCTCGGCGCTCAGTGAATCACGGGTACTGTAGGCCGAATAGGTATATTGAAAGGTATATTGAGCTAGAAAACAACAGAGCAAGTCGGTACTAGCATGAGCACAATATCGAATTATCAAGCCTATTGCCGTCGCCAAATATTGTCAAGTGCATAAAGTGGCGGCATAGCTTATAATCACTTTCCTCCGTGTCGGCACGGTGCAACTTCAACCTATCAGCCTATATGCAGAGTCGAACTCGACCATGCAGGTTCAACTCGAAGCGCAAGCGCGTTTCTGACGAGTCGGCAGCGCTCCCTACGCGTCTCCCTCATCATTTTTTGATCCATCACTTTAGAGGGGTCTGCTATGATGCCCCGATGGTAGGCCCGAGTACCCTCGTGGTGGTTGGAATGGTACTACCTGATACATTCTTTCCGCTATACGGAAGAGATTCCATGCCTCTTCCCTCTTCCCTCTCTGCTGTTTGTTCTTCCACCCCTCGCTGGCTTAGGCCGATAGGTTGTAGCCACAAGATAATGCTGCATCACCCAATTTACTTCTTTTCGCTCCAGCCACCAACGTACGGATGTGGGACTTTCACGTCTACTATGACAGCTCCCGACAAGTCCGTTTGTCTTCCCGTACCATACTAGGTAGTTGTTGTTTTTCTATCCAGTGCCTAGTTGCATTCCGTTTCCCTAGTCTCTGACGTAGCGTACCGTTCGACTGGAACAGCATGAATAAGATCTAAAATGCAAGACGTATCTCACACACACATAAGGTATTTGAAGTCTCCCTTGCTGTTATGCATTCTGCACAAACATTGCCTTGCTCTGTCTCCTAGGTGTTTTCGGGCTTAGACGCGAGTCAAGGAGTTGTGCTAATCCTTGATAAATACGGCATCCCTATGGCTGGATGATTGACTTACATTCTAACCCTCGGCCTATATTTTTTCTTCCTTGTATTATTTACTAATCCTGCCCTCGACTGTCAGGATCTGCAGACCAGTGTTCTGCTCTTTCGACGTATGCTTGTCTTGATAGCACACCAACTTCCTCTCGACATTACTCTATAAACTGTGAACATCCGCCATAGGGACTCAGAGTTATATTCCGATCGTGATCGATCTTTCAGAGCAGTTGAGATCATCATGGAGCTCGCCAACCACCCATATCAAGAAGGATTTGTCGTTTATGGAGGGGATCAATCGCCAGACGTCATAATACCAAGGCTACTAAGGAAGTCGAGCCTTACGAGCAACTTCTCCTATCCTAGACTGGATGAGCATGAGCACTTACGTCGCTATGAGTCGGATAATAGACGATCATCACTGGCGTCGAATGGCTCTATGCCGGGGATGACAGACTCATCCGACTCAGAGACTTCATTCGATGAGGATT